CATCAGGCCAATCTCCACAACCCCCAACTCCATTATCTGCCTGGTAAGGACATGAATGCAAAACACCACAAGATGCTAAAGAGCTGCAGTGGCTTTATGCTCACTAGGTAGATCCAGAATGATCAACATCATACAGATTTCTCTAAGATGGCTCAGGGGCAACTGTAATTGTCTGTATGCAAAAGTTAAATCACAAGCTGTAAGGTCCCCCTGTGAATACATCAATTCCTGGTTGTTTTAATTCACTTTTAGTAACTATTCCAAAATAACTTCAAGCATAGACTAGCCATTAGTTTCCAAATCACAACCAAATCAGGTATTTTTAATTCATCTCTATTACTTTCAGAACAGTATATATGTGGAGAAATCTGTGGCACTGCTGTGAAGAAAATAAATCTAGAGCAACCAAGGTCTGACAAAAGGAAACCCATCTTCTGATGGTGAGTAAAGGGCTGTACTCTTGCAAATGGTAAAATAATAAATAAATACAAAAAAGATGGGAATTCACCACAATTATATCCATTATCTCCCTAAAATGCTCAGACAGCTCAGTATTTCATAAACTTGGTCCTCTTTTTCACCTGAATTCAAATGTTCATGTTTAACACCATGAACAGTTAACTACTGTACTCAGTTCGCAATAGAGTAAGCAGGAATAACTGGCATCTAAACAATGTGTAAGATTTATGTAAACAAATACTAAAGATATTAAAACTAAACTGTTCCTAATGTATTACATAAACTCAGTTTCTAAACAGAAACTACTGTCAGTACCCAAGAATAGGGTTATTTATCTTAGTCCTTGGTGTAGCTTTCAGACTTTGGAGTGATCACACTCCTGTAAACTGTGTGTTTTGTACGTTACAGAACTGTATGTTGAAAACGATACCAAAATTTTACTTCAATAAGTCACATTTAGCTTTTCCTTAATCCGTGAAAAATGTTACTTGTCTTAAAATGACAAAAAAGGAAATTAAGAAGATTCTTGTGGCTGTTCTCAACATCACAAGTTCCTATCTATTCTTCCTTTTCTCCCCTCCCTACCTTCTTCAGCAATCAGTACACTGAAGCAAACAAAACAACCACAGGGCATGTCTCGAATCACAGAATGATAGAATGTATGAGGTTGGAAAGGGACCTCTGGAGGTCAACTAGTCCAGCCTCCAACTGCTCAAGCAGGGCCACCTAGAGTCAGTTGCCCCCGATGGAATCTCCAAGGATGGAGATTCCACAACCTCTGTGGGCACCCTGTGCCAAGGCCTGGTTACCCTTACCATACAGTGTGTCATCTTGTGTTAAGTTAGAGCCTCCTATATTTCAGTTTGTGCCCATTGCCTCTTGTCCTTTCCACAGCCATCACTGAGAAGAATCTGGCTGTCGCTTCTTCATTCCCCACCCTCCATCAGGTATTCCCACACATTGATCAGATTTCCCCTGGGCCTTCTCTTCTTTAGAGCCTTCACTTTAACATTTTTTCCTCCAAACTGCAGTTTATTTGTCCTCAGAAAAGGACCAATTGCAAAGAACCTAAGCAATTAAGCACCTGAGTGTACATGCACAAAATAATTTCAGATTTTAACGAAAAATGTGGCTGGGCAGTTGTAGGCAAAGAAAAATATTTTTATGTACTTCATAAAAATGAAATGAAGAGACATCATTAACTACTGCACAAATACGTACATGAAAGCCTCTAAATGCTAGATCTTGACTTAAAAGTATGAGCATGTGATATTATGTGGGAAGCTACGTTTCTGGGAAAGATAACAGCTGATCTGGAGCAAGGCACTTACTTTCCTCACATCTGTAAATAGCTCTGGCCACCCTTCCACTAGTTTCCACATAAATCTGGATGAGTCCCCTTTCTTTCTTTTCTCAACTTTCTTGACATTTGCATCACTTCAGTAACCGATGAAAATGAGTTTTCTAACAGTTGAGGGTATTTTTATTTGTTTATTTTTAGAAAAGGTGAACAAAACATGCAAGAGAAAAACTTCATTCCTCACAACGGATCACTTTCAATTTAGGACATCTGTCCTAACTGTGCCATTTATCATTCTTAAATGAAAACAAGACAAGGAGAAACTATAGCTATATAACTCCATCAAAAGTAATACTGCTTAGTCCATCTAGCTAAAAAGGAGAATCCCACCACTGCCTGCTAGTACAGAGGCTGAAACTTCTTAAAAAGAGCTACCTCCTGCTGAGCCGTTCTTTGAAGCTCATGAGAATCTGTAACACACAAGACTCATTTCTCATCCCTTCCTAATGTCAGTTACCACAATTTATCCCATGCCCGGGAATATTTAATAAAGAGCACCTCCTGGCATTTCATTTTCAAGTCAGAAATCTAAAAATCACAGAAATCATTATCTCAGTGAAGGACAAATGCCTTCATTTGGGAAAAAAATGTTGACTGTGTCTAACACAGCAAATTCAGATGCACTAAAACAGGATTTTCTAAGTAATTTCAAAGCTACAACTTATGGAGTCATTGTGAACGATTAATAACGAACATATAAATCAATATATATAAAGTCACTCCCATAGTCCTCACAATAAAATGCTACATTTTATCTAGTTTTTTAAAATGTAATAGTCCTGCAGATGTAAATGGGAAATATATCCCATAAGATGCAATAAGTACACCACAGTAAGAAGCAGGACTCTACACACAAGTTTTGCAAATGCACAGTGGGTAACATTTCTGATGACAGTAGAGCAATTAAACTACTCAGTCTTAATTATAGCAACATGAAAGATTATCAAAATAGTGGCAATATATCAATTACATTTGCCTGTTACTTTCATGCATTTACAGAACTATACATATAGATAGTTAAGTACATGAGATTTCAGAAGAGGGAAAGGGGATGCATTTCTAAAGAAAAAAACACCCCAAAACCCGACAAAACCCAAAAGACATACCACAGGCACTGGCAAGGGGCAGAAGAAGATCCCAGCTTTTAGAAACTTCTCAAGTTGTCAGAATTTCTTTAATTTGCTTCTTTCTGGACGGAATTTGAAAGATTTAAAGGTTTGGGGATGGATGTTGTTTCAGGCTTGTTTTTCAAGACAGCTAGTACAACACCGGATAGAATTAATCTCAGTTTAGTATCTGACCTGAGCTAAATTACAGATTCCACAGTCTCCAGAGAGGCTCTCCAGAACATGATTCATTCTACTTTCCTTAAATATCTATCTTAGGGGGTGATTAATCTCTCTCTAGAGGTGCCCAGATTCCTCCCATAAAGGAGATGCCTAACTTTAAGAGAGCTAACATTCAGTGAGATGAATTCTACTCACCGTGTACCATGATTACTGGACATCTTGTATCTGGAAAAGTTAGCATAGGAGCTCTAAGGAAAGAATCAGACAGAAAATACTAGTTTTTTAGTGGTTTCTGTTAGTTGGTTGGTTTTGGGGTTTTTTTGATCTGCAATTTGGACCTCCAAGTACATGGAGATTATAAGGTCCAAACTCCTATGCAAAACTCTTCTATATAAGTCATGCTCACTAATGTACTTAAGCAGGTATATAATTTAAAGAACAGAAATCCCATCCATTTCAATAGAGTTATCTAGTCAGACAGCTCAGAATTATGAATACAAGTAAGTACACTATTGAATTGAAGCCTTGAAGAGACTTTAAACGATAAAGGTATCATACTAGTTTTTAAAATTACCAAAGGAATTACGTATTTACCTACATGCCATCCCACATCAATTTCATAGATGGTATGGAAGCCCCCTTCTAGTGTGAGAGCAGGAGCAGTTCAGAGCAAACCTCTTTTTTTGGACATGTTAGCCATGGTTTTTTAACATTGGCTGCCAAAGCACATCTTTTACAAAGCTTCAGAAAGACAGACGAGATCAAAGGACAAAATTAAACAAAAAGAATATCCTTAAAAGTAAAATTTAGATAATGTGACTGAGGGATTGTCTAGTGATGGAGATGACAATACAATTCAAGAATAATTAAATTCCTCCAATGGAGGAATTGCCATCTTTCATTTTGGATTAAATGAAACTAGAATATAAATTTCCTGCTATATGACTGCTTCACAATGAGACAGTCCACAGTAGTTACCGGACTTTGCATTCACACTCTTCATACCCTGTAACACCTTTCATGTGTAGACAAACCAAAAGGCACTTTGGCAAAGCAACATAGGAAATCCAGCACATCTCTTGTCCAGGCTTTTTCTGCTGCATGGGTGGAGAGGAACTCAGTCTCCAGGTACGGTAAAACAACAGTTGAAAGTAGAATTGCTATGAAACATTTTTTGCTATTACACTTCACAAAAGTAATTCCTAAATGACAAACTTTGAGATTTATACATATATGTTTAAGTATGTACACACATAAAAAAAATTCATATATACATATGAACATATGCGTGTACACATATAATTTATGTATACATGTGTATAAATAGGTAGACCCACTTAAGTACAAAATAGCAGAACTAAAAAGACAGTGATCTGTTCTTGCTTCTTTGTGACATATAAGGAAGGTCTAAAAGCATGTTGTTTTCTTTATTCCTACAAGTACTACAAATTTCAAGTCTGGTCTATCTTCTCTTTGCTGGAAGACTTCTTGGGACTTATAAGGCCATAGCTAAAAGAGCTTCTTACTCTCTGATTGAAGGCTGAAGTCTAGAACTACAGATGGAAGTCACTCCAAATCACTTCTCTGCTGTTTGAATTAATTATATGTTGGCAAAAGCTAAGTTTTAAACAGTCCAAATAAAAAGCTGACTTCAATTTATCTTTCAAGTGACAATAGAGAATTCCTGAAAAAAACGACATAAACAATAGAAAATACTTCAGTATGAACAAAATGTCAATTTAAACCTCCTTCATGCTACCTAAGAAGCAACAGAGAATGAAATTCTTTACACATACGTGATTACAAAACCACTTATTTGATTCACTGATGCCACAGAATTTAAGCTGTATTATCCACCAAGTTGACCAGTTTGAAGGCACAATGGCTAACCCGCACCCCATTCTATTTACAGTGAAAAACAAACAAAAAGGATCTCTTCAGAAAAAAAGGAGATAAACATAGATGCACCCCTGAGAAGTGAAATTTTACAACAAAAACATTTGTTTGGAAACACTGTTCTTTGTAAACTCCCATTATCTGAACTTGTGTTCTCCTATAACTAGAATAATAACATTTAATATTCAATTACAATGAAATATATTACTTATAGATAAAAAAAGTTTAAAAGTTCCAAGAACAATAAATGAACCCAAACATAATTGAAAGAAATGAGGTCTCACACAGAATCATACCAAAGTTGACATCTTTCAGTGTGGAAGAAAAGTAAATCAATCTAAAGTTCTCTGACAACGCCTAGATTTCTAAAGGAAAAAAAAATGGAATGGTATAATCCAGTTGGAAATCCCATAGTGCCATCTGTGAGGAGGAAAAAATCAAAAAGCCAACTGTGCATGTCCTTCTTTGGATCTGGAATTCCCCAAAGAGTCAGCAAAATTTAAAAATTTGAAGAAACAGGTCTTTCAATAAAATCAGATAAATGTTCTGTAGCTGTTTCATGACATGGTCTCTAAAGTATTGGCACCAGCACAAAGAGATCAAAGCAGTCATTCAGGAGTCAGAGAGATTGTCAGATTTTTAATGATTCATAGCAGTCCTCTAGTAGCAGTTTGGTTATTTACTGCATGAATGAAGTGTTCTTTGCAACTGATCTTCAGTACAATAATGTACTTCTGCCAGACAAAGTATTTTTCTTCTTAGTCCAGTAGGCAATAAATGCCATCAATACAAGGATAATAGAGCCAATATCAAATGACAGGCTATATTTCATGGTCCATATTCATCAACAATGGCCAAAAAGGCAAAATTCTAAACTCAAGCTGTACATAGTGACATATTCTAGTGGTGCTATTCAAAGAAAAAAAAAAGTGAAAAGCTTCATCCAAGAAAGTGCAAAAGGAAGAAACTTTCAGAAATTGTCCACCAACAGTTTTCCTTCTCCAGAGGCTAAGCAGTGCTAAAGAGAGAGTGCAATAGTACTTTGAGCTACCATCTCTTCAAAAAACAAAACAAAACAAAAAAAACCCCAAACAAAACAAATCCAACACTGAGGTTTGGTGATTAAAAAATCACCAGATCAACATTGCCCGTTTCAAATCCGTTACATTTCCATTGCTGTTTTACTGAACAATGATGCTTGTTTTCACTCTTGGTAGTAAATTTGATGCCAGTGTAAGGGACAGTTGCTAACACATTACCGTAAATTCTACTTTTCATGGTACTCTGCACAATAATCAGATGTATCACAAATCAAGTCTTGACCACGTCAGAAATTTGAAAAACTACGCTGGAGTTTTCTACACATTACCAGCTACAACATTAAGTACCTGGCTCAAACTTTTTATATCGATACCAAGAAAGAGATGGCAATTTTCTCTTTTGCTTCTGCTCTAAGTTCAGGAGGTTCAGGTTCTTGCATTTATCTGTTGTGTCGCTTAGGCTGGACTGTAAAACATCACTACATCTATTTCAGGCGGAGGAAGGGAGAAAAACGTATCAGATACAGATCACTGCCAAACAACTGAAGAGGACAAAGTGCCTTTTTGATCTGTTCCTATACAAGCTTAAACAGCTTCAAAAACAAATAACTAATTATAGGCCAGATCACAGCATCTTATGCTGCAGGCCAAACTAGAATGCTACAATATCTGTGTATGTATATACAAATACATCTGTATACATTTATATATACACACACAAACACATAAGAAGGAAGCACCCATATTCTCCTTACTGCTCAATATTGAACGTATGCTTTCACCTGGATATTAACATAGTTTACTGTGTGTAACACCCTTTGAAGGGACATTTAAGAAGACATTCATTTGCTTTTCATTAAAGCCAAACATATGGCTGGTATTTAAAAACATGCAATTATTAACACAGAGTAAAATAATTCTTAGGTACATTATCAACTCTTTAAGAAACATAATACATTTTAATGTATTTTACCCATTTGTATAGATAATTAATAGTTTCCACTATTTCACAGCAGATTTATATTCTTCTTTAAAAAAGTCAGCGCAAATTTACAGGAAACAACTCTGTCAAATGAGTTCCACAGCAGCATATGTAGGGAGTCACTGGGTGAAACTTTTTTTTATGAACACATTAGGAAAGCTGGCATTCAGTTCTAGCACAACTCTGTTATCGATCTGTGAACAGAAGGACACATCGAGTAAAGAAAGATCTTTACAAGACTCCAGCAATTTTCTTAAAGATGCGGGGCTCACCATCCTCGTCCCTGTTCAAAAACAAAACAGAATTGTAAAGTTACTAAGAATAGTGTTTTAAAGCTGTTAGTACTGTGACATGAAAAAAATGCTACTATATCACAACTTTTATCTAGATTATTTCAATTAGTTATCAAATTAAGAGCTTCTCAGAGACTGTGCAGAACTTTTACTTTTAAAAAGCCGATGGTATTTTCTTAACTCCTTAAGGAACCATCATTTTCTATTGGGGGCAACTTTACAATTTCAAGGAGAATCTTTAACTACAGAAGCCAGGTACCCAAAGTCACAAAACCTCCCAGTGACCAGATGCTGGGCTTTAGCAGCAAGCAACACGGAACGCTACACTCATGACTCTCCTGTTGACTGCACTGACCAGCACAGCAGATGAGCTACTGGGGGCTACTCCAATTCCAAACACATCAGCAAGGCTCCCAGGGCTCTGGAGTGCGTGTGGGTGTTACACACATGCAGAGGCAATTGTTCAAGAGATTATTGATCATACCTATATGTGCACTAAATAAAACCACTATTTAATCATGCTAAACACAAGACCATAGTGAATGAACTTTTAAGTGTCACACAGGGTCAGATCAAGCATGGGATTCAGTCAGAAACCAAATAAATGGACATTTATAAGCACATATCCACACACTCATTATAGCTGATGGAAATCCAGTCAGTAGTCCACGGTGCTTAGCACAGGATGCAGCAGACTGAGCATCGGGGTATCAGTCAGTATCCAGTGCTCCTTGGGGTTCCTTACACCATACAGGACCCCATACAGAGCTGGCAGACAGTACACTGGACCCAGAAGAGGAGATTCATGCCTTACAGGAATGGCTGAAAGCCAGGCACATTACTCTAGGCAAGTGAAGTGAGTCTGGATGTCTATAATGGGCTAAATCACCCATCAAGCTCTCCTGCTAAAAAGAGTTTATATATCCAACGCTACTGCTGAAACCTGCTGGTAGACACTTCAACTTACACAGCTCCATCTTGAGCTAACTGCATCTCAGAAAGCCATCTAGTCCAGGTCCTTGTCTAGGGCCAGGGCCAATAATGTTCCCCACCTGCCCCCATCCCAAAAAAAAATGGAAAAAAGAAAAGCAAAAGCAGATTTTTAAAGTAGCTTTTCATTGGTTAATCTTCTCAACTGCCAAAAATTATCATTTTAGGGTTTTCTAAAGCTATCTTTCATGAATTCTACTGCTTTTCTGAATTTCTTCATCCTTACAGCCCCTTCACAACTTTCACAGTTTGACTAGATAATGTTAAACAAACAAGCAAAAACCCCAGTCTATTAATTGCAATAATTAAGGGGCAATGAAAGAAGCAGTGAGAGATCATTCTCAGTTCGCTATTTCTACATGACTCATAATCCCATGGACATCTGTTCCCTCAAGGCTGTCTGTTTTCCAGACTCTCTTGCATCTCAAAATGACTCCTGTTGTGTTGTTTCTGCTCTAATTTAGTGCTTTCGAAACTGGCTGACCAGAACTATACAGTGCACTGAGCGCAAAGTTAGCAAATTTATAATAAGGTCTTAGTGTGTTTTCTCTGTTTCTTGCCTAAGAAACCCTAATCTTCTCTATGCCCATTAGAATCATGTTGGGCAATGAGCTGATGTTATCCATAGGATGTGTTTCCGACAAAACAGTAGCTAATATAAGCCCAGTCCCCCATATGCTCAGTTTAATACTGTTTTGCCTCACGCAACCACTTCGCACTTGATTGAATGGCTTTTCTCCTGTTTTATCACCTGTTTAATAAGAATCACAAGATCATTCTGCCATTTTTTCAGTGTTAAGTTCTTCAGTTTAAGCTTTTTCTACCCTGAATACCTGTGTGTTGCCCTCTGGCATTATTCACCCCTTTGCCTGGTTTACTTATAAGCAGATCAGTGCAGACCCCTGGTGACCACAGTAGTGATATAACTTCACCGTGAAAAGAGACGATACCTTCTTGTCCTCTGCTGTCTCTGAAACACTCATAATCTAGAAGAAGACAGCTAAGTTACAAAAGCAGCACAACCTTGGCTAAAGCTTTTGGAAATTCAATCCTCTATGGATTGGAGCAGTGCTCAGGTTCACCAAGAACTCCAAGGAATTCTGAGAGACTGGAGAGGCAGAACTATACTATCCTTGCAGGGATGCAGCTCTGCTTCAAAATATGGTAATGGCCTTCTCATGTCTACTGACTGACTTTCTTATGGTTGCAACTGCTTTACACAGAGCAAAAGACAATACCACTGTTTTGTAGCTCCTAAACCGCACCCTTTACAGAAAGTTGGGCCATATTTGTAACTCTAGTGCTGAGGCTGATTTAAGTGACAGATCACACACCAGAAATAAGATTTCCACAGCCCTGTATTTGAGCTCATTTAGAACTCCTGCATAAATACCATTTAGTCCTAAAAATTTATTACTGTTCAATGCATTGATTTGTTCAAAAGCTTTCTATATTGGCATTCCAATTTAAGGCAGCTTTCCAGGCTAATCTCTTGGAAAGAATGGCACTGACGTAGCAGCTTTCTTGACCCCCCCCTGCCATGAACACTAATGGACAGACAACAGTTCTCCTGCAGCAGCCTTGTATCTGAGCAATCCTTCACATCCAGACTATCTACCAACCTCAGTAATTCACCTGTAAACTTCTACCATAGCTGAAATACAGTTTTAACATTCACCTTTAGCCAATGGTTCCATAATATTTTATACTGCCTTAACTCAGATTTTGTTTCGCTTTCTAGAGTTCATCTTCCTATTTCCTCTGAACAGGATTCTTTTCCAGAAAGACATCAAATGGTTTCAGTAGTCTCCAGTACTCTTCTGCATAAGCAAGGAAGTATCTAAATGTGCTCTTCAGTTATTCTGTGTCAGGCTCAGATTGGTTGCTTTGAGACATTATTGAACATCACCCAAAGACAGTCTTTGCTATCATGCCCCAAATTTTACCTCATCTACACAGACAAAGGTTGCCATTATCATTGTGATTTTTAACTCCCTTATCATACGATCCCTGTCATCACAACTGTCTGGTGGTTGATGAAACAGCTCCTATGGCTTTACCCAGAAATTCTGTAATATGTTTTATTTATTCACTTCACTTGATCATAAACTTTACCACAGTATCACTGTTCTACCATAAGGACCTGCTCTACCATTCCAAATGTGACTCTAGGAACAACACATTATGCTACTTATCTTTTTTCCACCAAGCCTTAAAATTGCTACTACATCAGCACCTTCATCTAAAACCAGTCTCATTTATGCATCACAGCTTTTATGCTTCAAGATCCAAACGTGTGTTTCTACAAAATGCTAGATCTAGATGCCTAACCATAGATTTTTTTGTGTAGGATGTTCTTCATTCCTTCCTACCTGAACTTCGACAGTTCTCCTACCATTTCATCTAAGACTAAGATTTCTGATAGATTTGCAACTAAGTAGGTCATCCTAAATTGCATGTTTTACTGTACCTGTTCGGTTTTTTTTTTCCTTCTCAAAATTTTATGTTAGGAAATACCTTTATCTAAAAGCAATCCATGGGGCTTGGTTATTCACACCTCAGGATAAGTAATCATCTGTAATCTTACTTTTATTTATACAATGTACAGTTAGTCATGCATGTATCTTAAAAGCCCATTTAAAAGCATTTCAGAATTTTTAACATAGCACATTTTCCCTTGCTTTTGAAAGACTAACAATGTATCCTGCTAGTTGCCCATGTAGTGCATTTCTTCTAGAGTCTGGAGGCTTTTGGACCTTTGTTATTTACTATAACTTCTCCTGCATGGACTAATCATCCATTTCTCAGAATACAAACATAACCAATATATTAAAATCTGCTATTTACTCCTGCTGTTCAGTTAATTCTCAGAAAAAAATTTTCTGGCATCACTTTTGTAAAATGCACTTCTAAACGATTTAATTGTATGTATCATATATCCGAGTCTTCAAATTCTAGAGCTGTTCAGGAGAGCTGTGCACTATAAAAACTGCCAGAGCCCCAGTTTCTAGGGCAAGGGATACTACTACACACCACATAATATTTAAGAGTAGAGACCTTGAAAATAACTAGCACTCTTCCCTCAAACGTTCTTACTTTTCTTCCTTCCTCCCCCAGACCAACCAGACTAGCGTTTTAGTCTTTACATTTTTTCCAATCTATTCCACACAACTCAAATTCAAAATTTTAACATGCTACACATTTTCATGTTTGAATTGACTAACTACGTGTTGATGTTCTCAAGATAAAGCTGAAAACTTTGACAGCTGGCAAGGGGGCAGTTGGGTTTTCTGTTGCTCAGGAAGGTGTGGGAGGTGTCGGCATGTAGATAGGAATACATAAATTTTTGCGGTAACAAGGGTGTCTATTTTTCATTACCTTTTTGGTGCAGGACAGAAGCAGTTGGAACTTTTGGGGAGCAAGATTAATACGACTTACTCTTCACCCTTGACAGCAGCTGGGAACTCCACAGAAACAGAAATAAGCAGCTGATATTATGTGCAAGAAAAGCTTTCAGCACTGTCAGTTCAGGTTGATTCGTCACATTCTCAACACTATATCACAGTTTGAAGACTAGTTTTTAACTACAGGTCTGGATGTGTCCACTTAACTTTTGACAGCACCAGCTGATGTACTGCATCACTACAAGACTGCCAGATGATCACAGCTGGATCATCCTACCACAAGGTGGAAATATGCCATGTCAGTCAGTGGAAAAGATGTGGGCCAACAGGAAAATGATACTTGTAAGCAGGCAGCTCAGTATGTAACAGGTGAAAGAAAGCTCAGAACAAAACTTCAAGAGAAGCACATCCTCATGTACTCAGTGACACACTTACATCACACTTCCTCTTCTAAACTTGTAATACAGTAGATAGGGACCCAATCCATGACGCGTTTTTTTAAACAGTTTACTTTATGAAGTATGTTTTACACAGCACAAACACAGCCAGACATCCATGTTGTGAAATGAGTGTTTTAAGGTGTCTCAAATCATAATGCAGCCTTGGGGGAGGGCAGGGGGTGCACCACCACAATCCAACAATGCTTTACAAGACCCATAAGTTTATTGAGCTCTTGAAAAACAGCAGTTTTCACCTTCTACAGAGTCCTCTGACTCTGTAACAAGGAAATTGCCAAACAATTATGGTAAAGGACAGATGGGTAGCAAGCTGCAGGACCTATCACCTTAAAACAGCATCCAAGCTATAATAACATGCATTTTGCATCACTTACAGCTCAACAAGATTTCTTTCAGAGGCTCAGACTACTCCAGCTCTTAAGCTATTGTGATGATAAATAATCTATAACTGAAACAAGAAGTTTTCCCTAGCCAGTTTATAAGTTCTAGCAACTGCAGAGAGACACTAGTATAGTATATTCAACGCTGGTGACATTCTGACCTCTACTTAGGTAAGTGCCTATATACAGCAAAAAAAATCTTGCTTTTATGCAGCTTTGTTGAAGCAAAAGAAGTTGCCTTACAGCACACAGTGCTAACCTAGACACAATACTTCTACACCCTCCACAATGCAGGTACAAGCCAGACATTTCTGTACTTGGAAGATGACAAAGGATATAATGAGAACATCTTTCATTCGTTCACATCACAGGGAAGACCCACTGTTCAAGGTTACTCTTGCAAAGCTGAGTGTTGACCTCCAGCCTCTAACAGCTTCAGACCTGTTGTCACACTTCTTCTAAAGGACAAAAACATATTACACATTTATGCAGCTTAAAGTAACAGGATGGCCCTACATCAGATGCCAAAAGTTAGAGCACATACAGAGATTTATGACTTTCTTAGTACTCCTGCACAGTAAGAGACTAGCTCTTTAGTTCAGACAACAGAGACTTCTGCACTTACATGAGTTACCTGGCAACTCTACCTCCAGATGACCCAACATTGTTCCACTTGACAGCTCTTTCTTTTAACCATAGACTGTAGTGCTTACTATATTCAGACAAAGAAATTAACACAGTTTTCTTGCTGTTGCCAAAAAAGCAGGGTAAGTCCCTCACATATATCGTATCACCTTGTACTGACCTGTTTACAGCAGAAGACAACCTTCTTTTCACTCTACTAAGTATTTCTCTGTAGGAAGAAAGTGAGGTCTGGTAGGTGAATACTACAGTTTTTGGTAACATCTTGCAGAGAATTCAACTGCATATCCCCTACAGAGCATTTATCTGAACCCAACATGCAACCTCACTGAGAAAGTTTGATTACAAATCCACTTGACTCAGGAACATTGGTAAGCACCTGGGGAACAGAACAAGCTCCTTTTCCCCATTCACATATTATTTTTCAACACCCCCCCCCAACATCAATAAGATGTTAAACAATTAAAACGTGAATTCAAATGCTAAAGAAGTGTGGCAACAAGCCTTCACTGCTGGCAGAGAGACAACAGAACTGGCAGACTATCCACAGGCCTAACACAGCCAAACTCTTCATTGGGGAGCCCCAGATGCAGTGAAGAGGTCTGACCACTTCATGGGTAGACACAATGCCATTGCAACAGAAATACATGGAAGTTGGTGGTCAAGAGCATATACACGTTTATGAAAGACTTAATCCACTATACCATTTGGAAATTTTTCATGTCTGAATAGGGAAATGTGCCCTTGATAATCTAGCTACAAAACAGATTCTCTTAAAGATACACAAAACACAGAACCTCCTGCGGACATATGCATCAAGTCTCCACAATTTGTACTATGTGAAGTTTTTAATCTGTTCATCCTCCTTTCCTATACTGGTCAGAAGACCATTTTGTCAGTCAAAGATGAATAACCTCTATTTCACAATAGAAGAGTGTACTACCTGTACTGGAGTGACAATCTGAAGCCATATGTTAAATATTTTGTAATGATAAATGCTGATAGCCTTCAACTTGCTTGGAACATTATTTGAGTTGAGGGCTCTCAGCTTTTTGCAGTGTCTCTCTCAACCTAAATGTAATATTTTCATTAAAATTATTAAATATTAAAAATATACAGTGCAGCTAGGGTTTTTTCCCTTTCATTTAAGTCTTCTTTTTACAACTAACCCAGTGAAAATAGGCTGTCAAAGCATAAAGAAATTACTCTCACATCGATGCCACAAACTACTCTGCTGTCCTACATTATTACAAAGACAAAATCTTATATTCCACCATATAAAGAATAAATTCAGTACCCCGCAAAACTACACTTCTCAAAGTCCTTACTCAAGAATCCAACGTATATTTACTTGAGATTTCTAAAAATATTTTTAACTATGGAAGCTGCAGAGGATTAAAAATTTCAGATTTGCTATGCTTTTTGCCCCTCACCACTTCCTTCCCACCTTTCTAGAAAGTCCATGTAAAGTTTTGCTGGTAAGTACCTTTTCATCTTTAATAACTCAAATTCCCTTCCTGATAAAAGCAACAAAGAAAGTCAGTATTGCATAGTGTATCTGTACTGCACAAAAGCAAAATCTGTTTATTGATCACAGACTCACACTATAAATATACTTTGTCACAGAAAGAAAATTATAAATAAAAGCAGAAAAAGGATAAGAAATTGGTTCTTCTTACAGTCAAAGAGAACGATTTCAGTTAAACAAAGCTGTGATCATCAAACTAAAAGTTATTGGAAAAAATCTTGCTCTTAAATCTCAGTTTAAGCAATTCATACTAAGCAGTCAAAGTACATAGTTGGTATAAACCCACTGGATTCTGAGTCAGAAACCTACTGCAGTGAGGAAGACTTCCTCTTTTTTTTTCATATGCCAAACCATAATTTTAAGAAACAATTATTTTAAAAATATGTCTAGAAGACAGTTTTGTCTTAAGGTCTCCTTTTTAACCACAAGGTTTTTGAGACACAGTCAAATAAATACCAATATTCCCGTATTTTCTTACCCAATATATCCAGCTGCCGTAAATGTGTACAGTTAGCAGCAAGCTCCTCGATGTCTGTGTCACACACAGACCTGTTGGCCGTAAGGAAGAGCTTTTGCAAGTTTGGGAGTTTACGTGCAAGGTTCGTGAAGCAGCCTGTGCTGCTCTGTAACGTAGGGCACCAACCAAGATCAAGTTCTTCCAAAAGCTGGCAGCCTGAAGCCAATTCTGCGATTCCACTTTCAGTTATGTTTTTACATCTCCACAAATCCAGACTGCGAAGCTTTTTGCATTTTGCTCCCATCATGCTTGCTATAAGGTCATAATCTTCAATCTGCAAGGAAAGCAAACACTTTGTCATGTGTACCATCTTTCCAGACATATATGCATGTTTCAAGATTTGCTTCCTAACACCTACAGATTTGTCTTAAGCATGTAATTTCTAAAGAGCTCTGAAAATTGTTCATTGTAGAGTACAATGAGGTCTACTTTTACAAAAGACAAAAATAAAATTAATTTCCTATAAATTCCAGACATAAGTGTTTTTAAATTCACTTAAAACTAAGGATCAAAATGCAGCAAAAGGTTTATTTTCTTTGAAAAGCACTTTTTTCACAGTTGTTTTTCCTGTAAAAGATTATTACAGCTACTTTTATGACCACGGGTACTGCAACCATAAGCACTTGCAGACTGAAGAACACGCTTATTTTCCAATTTAGGTTGATCAGTTGCTGCATCTCTGTCTTGTTAATTACTTTGGGCAAGCCAAAGGGACTTTTACAAGGGCATGCACTCAGGACAAGGGGTAATGGTTTTAAACTGAAAGAGGGTAGATTCAGGTAACAAAGAAATCCTTTACTGTGAGAGTGGTGAGGCACTGCAACAGGTTGCCCAGAGAAGTAGTGGATACTCCATCCTTGGAAGTGTCCAAGGCCAGGTTGGATGGGACTTTGAGCAACCAAGTCTAGTGGAAGGTGTCCCTGCCCAGGGCAGGGGGGTTGGAAACAGCTGAACTTTAAGATCCCTTCCAACCCAAACTATTCTGTGATTCTTGAACTATGAGGAAGCTCGACTAAGTTGCCCCGATCAGCAATTTGCTACCACCAGGGATAGCAGCAAGCCAGAATCCCTTTACACACAGCTCAGGTGTGCACATGCAATACAGCTCAAATGAGTGCCCTGCAGGAATTGCTGCTGTCCCTGTATTCACTTTCTTCAAACCAATGAATGTGCTCAGCAAGTCTACAACTCAAATGGCTTTTGCCAAAAGATATTGCTCTTGTGGTTGTTAACTGCAGGGTCAGACACAAGAATTAAGCTGCTAGGAATGAGATGATGTGAGTTGAATAAAAGTAAGTAATTATTATTAACTTTGGATTATTAGCCTTGGAAAGAAAAAGCAATTATGCATATAAAGAATGTCCAAAAACTGTCAAAAAACGCCTGAAGAACTATGAAAAAGCCTACAAGCTATGCTTTAGGCCCACTAAACTGGTATGTAACCCCTATGTATATGACCAAGCTGCATTTATGTTGGACTTTCCAAGCAAGTAGAGTCTAATATCAGCCTAGCATTTAACACACTGTTGTGAAACAAGGCCAGACTGAGTTCCAAAGCGAGCGAGTGCATGCACACATACACCCCAAGCGGCTCCAGTACTCACCATGACACAGCTGCCCAGGCTGAGGTGTTGCAGCTCCGAGCAGAAGTTCAGAATACTGAGCAGGGCTGTTTGCTGCCAGGGGGAACACATCCGAAGGAAATATGGAAAGTGAAACAAAGAGGTCAATTAGACATTAAAGGCTGCCACTGCGTTTCCTGAAATACAGCTCAAAATTCTGTTACGGAGGGAACAAATGCCACTTAATGAGTCCCTGGGTACTTTACCCATTGGTTGGCTTAAAGCAAAGGTAATCATTACAAACCTTTATGCAAATCACTTTGGATGGGGGTTTGCATTGCCCTGAAGATACCCACGTACCACTGACCTATCCGCTCATTTCCCATAGGAAAGCTGCAGAAGAAGTGTGGCAAGATCAAATAACAGGCAAGGCCAGCCTGAAAACACAAGAGAGTTGGCGACACACCAGAAGAAGAGCGGAGGCTCTGACATTCGCTGATCAGCTGCAGCCTGATGGAACTGCCAATAGAGCTGCACAGCATCAGTTGGTGACTTTAATGTCAAAGAGTCTCCATGCTGACAAGGATGCTGACAACCACGGAGCACCTGTCACTATTAGCATGGAGACTGAAACATGTAACATGTATTTCACAGCCCTGTTCCTGCCATTTAATGTGGTCATTCTTTTCAGAAAGCACTGCATGCTGCTCAGCCTGAAACTGGACTGAAACATCAGAGGCATCTTATAAAATGTACAGTACGTGGCCTGTCTCCTCCACAGCAAGTGAAACTTCATGGATTTTTATTTCTGTTTCTAAGACACAGAAAAGACCCTCCTGCATTGTCTGTAGTCATATTTTGTTTTCTTGTTGGAAACATGCACAGTGCAAAAAAAGAACAGTCTGGGATTCACATCACAAATAGTTGTGCATCATACTTAAAACATCACTTTGTTAGGACTTTGTAATCTATATGAGCTGAAAACAGGGTTAAGCTTCACAACACAGTAACAATAAAAGTACGTGGATTTCTACAGGATATACAACAGTTTCTAGCAGATAAAAAGCCCAAGCAATACACAAGTGACAAATAATCTACTGCTATTAAGTGTAATTCCAAAAAGAACACTCGTCAACAATATTCGTACGCACGGATAGTATAATTTATAGGTTTTTAAAATATAAATTTACTTATTTGCAGAAAGTTTACAGTTAAATGCTTTATGTAGTTTCCTCAGTTTGTTGCTTTCTAATGAAACTTGGCACAAACTCATCCTTTGTCCTATCACTGAGAAGTAACATGTGATTCCTTGCACAGAAAGACTGGCAGACACAGAACAGGGACACAGAACAGGGACACAGATACCATTTCAGGCATCTAATTTAGGTGTCTCCGGGGAGCAATTATAAACACTCAACACTTGACAGGTATGGAATCTCAATTCCAACTTGGCCTTCCAAGATTTGATTTCCCAAAGGCAGCCTAAAAGTAGATGCTAAGAGTAAGCCTTCCTCACATATATGTTGGCAGAAGTCTTACAAAGTCACTACTCGCTTGCTTGCTTAACTTTCATTCATGTTTTTAAAGGAAAAGGTAGCTAGGGAATGGAACACAAGAGCATTGAAAAATCACTATTAAAGACATTATTAAGAACATCTTAAAGCTCGTAAATGTGTAAATATCCAATTCAATTTAAATTACACACTAACTAAGCAAATGTTTCATTTGGATCACTAAACATGAATAAACGACTAACTCAAAGAGAATTAGACACAGTCTTTACTATTTAACTCAGTGAAAGCTATGAGCTTTAGAACCTACTCAGGTGCACAAATTAAAAGCAAAATCCCCAAATCCCTCTCTCCAAACCCTAAATATTGGAGATAAAAAAAGCAGTCTCTGACTGCACACACAGTTCTAAACAGGGTTTCTGCAGGTATTCAGATGACTCCACAGGAAAGCTGAGTACCTTGCTGCATTCCACCAAGCTTTTTAGTAATGGTTTCCAGACTGGAATTTACACACTGGCCTGAAAGGACAGGAACCAGCGATCTCTTTCTTTAATTGACACAAACAGTACAAAAGTGAACAGTCACTCTGAACAGCTTGTAGGGTGTGAGATCAATTCCATACTTCTTCAGAAAGGGTAAAATAGATAGGAAGACTAGTATTCATAGTTATCTTGATAGATAACTGAGCTCCTTATGTTAACTTCAACAGGAATGTGATGCATCTCTCAGAGTACTTTTTTCATCCCTCTCTATTTAAGACAGTCCTTCCTGTACTGACATGCACTGAGTCCACATTTTCAAAGGTCTTTTCACAACCTGTAACACCTAAAGTATTATTTTAAACTATTATTTAAAAAACCCAAAAAACTTTAAAAAACGCACTAGAAATCTGGGTAATAGAAAGGAGCTTGGTAGAATATCATGTCATACCATCACAAATCATGCCAAGTCAAGCCCAAGAGTAAACAACTACATACTCAACATTAATTATACTGGCTATATTAATTCCTCTTCTGGGGTGCATACACGCCCACACACAGCAAACCAGATTTCTTTCAGATGCAGTGTCTGTTCTTCTGTAACTGAGGTGGGCTTTGCATATGTCATGTAAGAAGAAAAAAACCTTTGTGCATGCCTAGCTGTGCCTCAGTCAACTGAGAATCCAGGTGGCAAAAGACAAGAAAATAGCAGGAGAGAATGGCAGCTCACAGAATCCATATGCACTACATATAGAAGGACTATCATTGTAATAACCTATCTGTTTCAAGCCATCTGTCTGTACAATTCATCTCTCTGACTTGCAATACAACATGAGCCATAACACTCCTATTCAAGCAAAGGAAAAGAGCAAGGCAATCATCCCATGCTGAAGCTGTAGCACAGGCCAAACTTCAAATGTTAGAGTGCTTCACAAGAGGAGCTGAGGCCACCTAAATTCTGTATCAGCAAGCTTTAACCTGGAGTCTAATTTCACTTTCTCAGCCAAGCAGAGACAGTCAAATCAAAGACTATCCATCTAACAACATTCTTGAGCTTATCAGCCAAGACATGTATAGTTTGGAGATTTTTTGAGTTTTCTCTGGACCAAAAGTAAAGTTTAGCTTCATACCTGCTCCCTTTTACAGAGATTGAGAAAAGAGTAGACGATTAACAATACACCAAAACAAAACAAAAACCCACTCCGTAAACAAACTTAAGATTTACTTTTTCTTTGTGGAGTAATAGCTTCAGTGGTCTACATTTCTTTTGCCATCCAAACCAAAACAAAACCTACTAAAATACTTAATTTTTGTAAGATGGCACAGACAACAGGAAGAGTTCAAAGGGGGCAAATAAAATCGTCTGTCCTATCCTCCATTCCCAGGAAAGATGTTTTTAGATGAGGAAAACATACAGTGCAGAAGCTGCTTTCAGAGAGAAGACTGATGTTGAATTGATCAGAAGGATATGAAGTGTTGCTAAACCCAACATTACAGAGCAGATTTCAGAAATATTTCAGGGCATCGTAGTTAGTCCTAAACCGCAGAAAAAGGGAAGACTGACTGCAGGTTCTCTGCAATCTTTATGAACAGGTCAGAAAAACGTGTGTCACAAAGGACAGAGTTGATCATGTCTTGGACAAGAGATGAGATTACTGTTTGAAATCCTAATTTACTCCACACAAGACAGGTGACAGGACTGCTCAAACATCAAAGCCCTCTACTCTGTAACACATGCCAGCCTGGAAGACAGTTACGTGTCGTGTATAGTTCAACTAAATAGCTGATACTGGACTAAACTGTATCTTACCTGTCTTTGTAAAGGTCTTGGCCATCACACATATGTTTTGACTTAGATAATGCAAAAGCATTGTTGGTTTGAACAGACAACCCATCAGCAGAGAAACCAAATACTGGTGCCAGAGAAATACATTTGGCGAGACGGAAGCTTACTTGGCTTTTTTCAGGATTTTTTACATTCATGATACAGCAAGAAGTGTAAATCATTTCTAATGTTAGTATGAAAGGAAAGCATCCAACAGATAGCCTGAGCTCAGTATCTGTTCAAACAGAAAACCCTTCTGTCTGGCAGATGTGACTCACCTGTGAAAGATGCACTTTGAATATTTGACTATTTACTCATTGCAGTTTCATTGTCGAGTACTCAGAGATTAAAAAAAAATAAAAAGGGTTTGAAAAATACAAATGATGCACTATAATATAGCTGTCACATAATGGCTGCACTATCATACAAGGCATGAAAACAAGTGTACCACAGTGTGACTCTGAAAGATTAAAGTAAAAGCTTAAGAAAAACAACAAAGTTTTACTTTGGGGTTGGGTTAGGGAAGAAATAGGCTGCACCTTTTAATAAACTTTCTTTCTATAGACAAATCTGAAAAGCTACTTTTAAATTTCTTACTTTTTTTCTGGAGACAAACAACAGGCTGTTTTTCCCCTTTCTCAGAAGAACTGTGTATGACATAAGTTGGGAATTCTTCCAGCCCTTCAGTGAAACAAGAGCCTAAATCTTTTACAAGACTCTTATTCTTCTGTAATTTTTTCTTCAAATTTTTCATTGAAGTGAAAGTTTAGATAAAAGAATCTTAGGGTCTCATTAAAGACTGCTTCCTCCCTTCTTTAAGTCCAGTTTCCTTACACACCCCCCAATGTACAGTATCCTATATAGTACCATACATGTCAGAGAATCTCAGCCTTCTGTGTATCTATCCTCATACCACAGCTACAAAATCACCAGTTTACTACACAAATTTTATTGATGGAAAAAGTGTGGCAGTTGTCCTGGTCACACATTAGGAAAACAAAGCTCATGGGTTAAGTCCACAATTAGTGCCATCAGCACGAAGTCACAGAATCACAGAAGAGCCGAGTGTGGAAACAAACTTCTAGAGACTGTTTATCCCAGATCACCTGGCTCCAGGTCAGCTGGTGTCTCCAACCTGACTGAAAAAAGCTGTTGACAGATGTAGGAGCCAATCCCTTTCATGACTTCTCAGCTGACGTCTGCAGAAGGGGATAACCCTCTAGCCTGCCCTTTATTACCACAATCAAAGCATATTTGAGTGATGCCTTCTGACACTAACGCAGACCATTTTCATTTATAGATTCAAAATAAATATGGCAGCAAAATCATTTTCCTATACAGTAAAAGCTGGCATTAGAATAGGAAGTCTATTCTCCCTCAAGCATCCATCAGCTATCACCCCAGAAGATATAATAACAAAAGGGAGAGAATTGGAATGTATTTGCTAAAAATCAGCTCCCCATCTCCCCCTAATGCACTTGGATTATTGAACTATTTTTGAGATGAAGAACTGGACAGTGATAAAACTTTTGCCTCCAAAACTTCATGACACAGGTTTAAAAACAGATGCAATATGAACACTACATGAGCATCAGGTAAGAGAAGAATGAGAGTATATGGAAATGAAGGTTGAATGAACCTTATTACTGAGTGCAGGTGTAGTCTTTCAAAAGTTAGAACGCTTGCTTCCTCACAAACAGGTGCAGTGTAATTTGCAAGCTGGGATTCAGGATGTACAGGGGCACCTTTTTGTTCTCTACAGCTACTTGGCAGTGCCAGGGATACAGCAGGGACTGAGACACAGCAACATGACAATTACTGAATTAATTAAATGAAAGTAATAGTCTCTGTAGTTAATTCAATTACTGTATTTTGGTTTTGCTTCATTTGGTCAAATTATGTCCTCCCTTATGTCTGTAAATTTGTTTTACACCTTCATTCTTTCCCCTCACTCTTCACATTACAAGCTCAAATGACAGAATTCCATCCTATGAGCCCAACATGAAATCAGAAAGCATCATCGAGGCGCTTTATTGCACAATTATTTGTCACCAGCTCAACCTATGTCCAAAAATCCACATTCCAGCTAGAGGCTTTCATCTTTTTTCCCCACTATTTGCTCGCAATTCTTAATCCTAAAGATTTATACCCAAGGCAAAGGAATTTTGTCCAAACTGAAAATCCTCAGACAACAGCTCTCAAAAGTATAACATGACCCATAACAGGTTATTTCTGAAAACTCTGTAGAACAATTTTATGGCAGCATTAACTCTGTTACTGCTCATGGCATAAGAAAATACGAGCTGTTACATTTACTGCTAAGATTCTTATGCTTCTTTCTGGTATCCAAGATTTCCAGTGTCTTTTCTCACAGCTGCCCAAGTTCCAAATTTGCTTTTGGTCAAAGGTATCAGAGATAAAATTTATAAATACAACATCTGCTTAAAAATATGTGAAAAAAAACTAAGTCCTTTGCCCACTGCAATTAGCTTTAAATTTAGTTTGTTTTGTATTTTAAATATAATTGCAATACAAACTGTAAAAACTTTTTCTTTATATATTTCATGTTGCATGATATTCTGATTCTTTATAATATGTAATCTTATGTTACAATTTACATCCAGCAATAAGGAGACTGACAAGTTCTCCTACTGTAATTGTGGCTTCCATTTCTTTAAAATACAATTTTGGCTGAATTATTTATATGGATTGAATACTTCATGATAAGCATTAAACCATGATAATATTCATGCTTAAAGCAAAAAGATGTGCACTGCCAGTTACTGTATATACAATAATACTTCCATTGTTCATTGTATTCTTCAAATGTATCGATGCCAATAAGCGCTTAAATTATGCTGTGAATACACTCTCAGTGAATAAACACTACGTATCAGTAGATACCAAAACCACCAGCACAAAAACCCCACAAGTATAATAGTGGCCTTGAGTTTACAGAAATTACATTTATAAAATGCTGAGATTAGTTTCTCAGAGCAAGTTACAAATTATTTCAAATGTACACATTATCAAACAATCTTTAAGAATTAAACCTTTTAAATATGAACTTATAGTACTGGAAAAGTGAGCTGCATTTTGTGGGGAGGACTATAGCAATGCAGGCCATTTTTTTTTTAGTTCCTGGAAAGTTACTGAAGGTCACTGGGCTTTCCCTCTTCTAACAGAGAGGTTGGAATAATTCAAAGGCATTAGAATTTTCAACTCAGAGGTTTGAAAACAATTTTACACACACAAACGCGCTCTCAATAAGTCAAGGAAATAACATTATACATGGCCTTAAGAATTAGCAGGGTTAGGACCAAAGAACGTAACCTTCTCCAGATCACACAGTCATCTTCCAAAGTGGTAGTGCAATAAGTAGCAGAACACCTGCATTGCCCATTACATTAGAAACAGACACTTAAAAATTGAAGCTTTGATTATAGAGACAATGGCAACACTTTTAAAAACAAAACCTATTCAAAGGAAACAGCTAAAATAACAAGAAACTGTAATAACAATTGCTCAGATGACAAACGTTATCAGTTTTATTACGTTTCCACTGTCCTCAAAATCTATGTACCTAACACAAAAATCATTTCAGTAGTCAATTTTCTGAGAGCGTTTTCTTAGAATTTATCTGTTAGTGTCATAGTAATCATATAAATGGGAAAAGTACAACAAATACTTTAAATTTAGATGTTGAAAGAATTTTTTTTCCTCTTCTTTTTTAGCATTGAAAGTCAAGGAAAAAAAAAGGAAAGACTACCACATGACTTAGACTGAGAAAGGAAATCCTGTACCTGGGCAGGTACTTGGAAGTGTATATGGAAGAAATACTATTTCTTTTATTAAAATGTTCATTCTGTACTTTTTATAAAGCATAATGCAAAAACAGGAACAGTTTTATCACATACTGACAAAAAGGATGGAGAATGTTATTTAAACACATGTCCAAATTCACAGCCAAAAGAAAAAGTTGTACTATTTACCCAGATGTGCTCTAACACACGAAAATTTGGTGGTTATTATTTGGTTAAGAAAAAAAGCAAGCCGCTGAATTATTTAGGAAACAGGCTAAATGAAATGAACAGATTTTTCTTTTGGTTTCTTCTTGGATTTTGAGATAGAACTTTAACAGAGGACTGTATCAGCTCTGTTCTTCTCACCTTCTTACTTACTTTCTCTCAATAAATATATACTTGTTATCAGTTAAGAGTTTTCCTTTGTGGATTCACAGCTTTAGATTCTTTTCACTGATCAGATCCAGTTGGCAAAAATACAACTGAGCCAAGCTCTTGACTAATTATTAGCATTGTTCCTTTGTTTGCTCTTTAAAAGCTCCAGCAATGAAGATAGTAGTAGAAATTTCACAAAAATCAGGAACACAACTATATTACAGCGCTTTGACAAGTTTTACAGATGTCTTACTCACTTCACAGCATGCTTGATCAGTCTATCCTGTTTTGTACAGAGCCACCACTTACTACCAAGCATCTCTGTACCAGCTGAAGAGTACAGAAGGAATGGCAGCCTATTTTGTGTAGAAATCCAAAGACTTGCATTGAGAGAAGCTAATGCTGAGAAAGGTGGTTATTTTTACAAACCTGTGGTTTTTGTAACTCTAATGCTCTAATTCAAATCCTATTCCACATCTTCATTCTCTCCATTTTACTTTTCTATCTGAGATGCACAATGTATATTGTTAAGTGGCTTCACATTAGCAGGTAACACAAAAGCATGCTCTCTAATTTACCTATTTAAATTTCTAGAAATTTCTCTTCCACGGTTTGTTAGGAACAGTGCCTTTTGTTTACACTTATGTATAAAATGGAAGCACAATCTTAAGAAAACTTGATTATGAATGAATGTTCTTGGCAGCTACAAGCAGATGCATGTCCATACACATGAAAGGCAGAAATGAATCTTTACAATTTAAGGGCTTCAAAGTCAGGAAATCTTTACCACCTACATTCAATCTAATTTCAAGCTCTGTTCAGCAAAGCGATAGAGGAGAAATGAGTTACCAGTCACTTCAGAGTATATCTCAGCTACTGCGCTATTACAAGCATGAAGTCTCAAACTTTAGAAGTTACCTGAGTAGAATCAAGAAGATTCTGATCAATCAACAGTAGAAAATAATAAAATTATACAATCATTACCTTTGATACAATGATCTTCCCTGGATCATTCCTGGCCTTGTAAATTAGACCCAACGGTCAAAACGAAATAAAGGAGATTTATCCAAGATTTACAGAAAGATTAATGATGTAGAAACAGAGCAGATATACCCAAGGCACTAATTCAGCTCTATACAAAATGCACTTAAAAGCATGGCTCACCAATTTGTTTTTTTAGTTTGAAGAAAATAACAACTGCTTCAGAGCAACTACCACAAAGTAAGAAGTTACTGAGGGGCACTGGCTTCATGGTGACTGTGGCACAGCCACAGCAAATGCCAATCATTCAAGACAGACTATCCTTTAATCTAACTACCTTCTGTTACCAAATCACCATCAGATACCTTGCTAGACCTAATTGAATTCTTCATTATTGAAAAAATTACACAACTTTATCTTACCGGGATTGAAAATATTTATTGCGAAGGTTAAAAATACTTGTTCCTACCTCCACTTTCGTTCTGTAGAGAATGAGACGCTTTAGGCTGCCCACTTTGGCTATATGGTTGAAAGCCTGAGGTGGTATTTTATCACATGATGAGAGATTTAATTCCTGAAGATTTGGACACATTTCAGTGATGACCTCCAAGCACGCTTCATTGAGGAAATGGCCACAAGACAATTCAAGACGTACTAGTTCAGAGCCACAAACTTTCAAGAACCTGTAAAATAACACATTTTAAGTGAAAAATAAACATACTTTCAGGTGAGAGTCTGAATACTGTCAAAATCTGAAACACGTAAATAAGGAAATAATTCCTTTCAACAAAGAAAAGCCATTAGTCTTAACAATTCTGTTTTGTTTAGAAAGTTGGAACATGCTTGTTCTTAGCATTTACTCTGAGACAATGGACCAAAGTACAACACTGATAATGTCTGAAATGCTTCTAGACAGTCCAAGGCCAATTTTGACAACGGCCTCCAAGTTTCCCCCAATAATTTCATATTTATCTGAGACAAATCTTCAAGTGTAAAAATGCGGTTAAGCCAAGCGGTTTCAAGACTTTCAGGAAAAAAACCCTCATTCCTTTCATTAACGAGTAAGTCAAAATGAATATTTGGTAGCTGTTCTAGAACACAGAAATTCCTGAGGACTATTTCACTTTACTTTCATTGGAATTATAAAAAAATCAGGATGTCAGCTGACTAAAGATCCAAAATTTAGAAACTTTGATGGTCTCTACATGAATTACACTTCCTGCCAGAGATCTTGTGTCAGAAACTCAAGCTCTATTATGTCTAATCCCAGCTTTAACTAAAAATACACAAGCTTATGTCACAAGCTTAAGTCCCTTTTTATTGCAAAGATAACCTTCAAACTGTAAATCAATCACTGGGCTTGTAAGTTTGATATTTAATAGGATAAAACCCCCTACACATTTGCCATGCCTTTGTTGTATTTTTATGGTTTCTCCAGTAGAAAAAAATCTAACTTCTTAAAATACAGGCTGCAACGAGTTTTGCATGTGACTTCGTAGAATAATGGATCTACTTGTCAAAGAGCATGAATTAGTTTCTCACAGTAAATATTCTGACCTGCTCTATTACCAGTTCTATCCTACAAAAACCTTCATGCAGACAAAGCAGATTCAGGTCCTGATACTTCCGCCACAAAGTTACTTCTTGGGTTTAACTGATACAGCAGAAACAAGTCTTCGGTTTGGACAAAAACTCCTATTGCTACAACTAAAGAGTTTATTAGCCTTCCCAAGTATCTGCTCCTGCTGAAACTGCTGGTCTTAGAAGCAGACACATTCAGGGAGGCATTCCTCAATGACACTAACAGTAGCGTAGGACTTGAAATCCATCTTTCAAGATCCAAGTTTTCAAACCTTCTCCTTGTTTTTTCATTACTCGCTCAAGTCATACTTCTCATTCATCATCATCCTTCTTTATTCCTTTCATCTTGCATATTACATGGCCTTAGTTTGACTATGCAGATCCTATGCAACACAGAGGGAGAGATTCCAGGGTGGCAACTCCAGCCCTGGATGTTTGTTTCCAAGAGTCACCTGAAACCTTGACCGACCTGATCTAGCCCTGGGGACACTGGTACCTCAATGGGGGCCTGGACTAGACAACCCTCAGAGGTCCCTAACATCCAACATTTCTATGAGCCTATGTGAAGAGAAACAAGGAGAGGATCTGAGACATGAAAGGGGAGACATAAGCCCCAGAGCCACAGGAGTTCTGCCATGTATCCAAATTTACTCCTCTGCTATTTTTGCCTAACTTTGAAGCCCCTCTGCAGAATCTATTTTAGCCTGTAAAATCAGTTTAATCAAACACCAAGCACTTATTTGCTGTTTCCATACTGGATACAGTGAATCGGCCTAGACTGATAAGCCTTCCTATGGGAATATCAGAGCTGAAGTGACATGACAATTCACAACAATTAACATTGGGTGTTTAAACATTAAGCTGCTATTTTCTGACTAGCAATAGAGTTCAACACTGTCATGGAGAAATGCAGGATGGAAATCAGAGTAGAGATATACGGATACATTGCTGATTACCAATTAGCCAATTCCTCTATTTAATGAGTGCTTTAACAATACATTCACACAGCTTCTTTCATCAACAAATTATCACGTTTGTTTGAATGGCAATATTTTCCATAAAACTTTGTCAGTTGCCACTTATTATACATCTAGCTTTTAATCTGGTAATGAATAAATATTTTATGAATTACACCATTACAATAATGGATGTTAGTTTAACTGCCACATAATTTAACAGGGCTTGGCTGCTATAAATATTAGTACAGATCAATGCTTTTCTCTTTCTAGGACTATTAAAAGTTAATATTACCAAGTCAGGGAAATGCTCAGTTAACCTCCTAGACTTGGAGAAGAACTCCAGGCTCACCAGCTTGAGGAGTTATTATCCTCATAATGTTTTATTTAAGCTCATTACACTTGAAACGCACAGGCAGATAGAAAACAGCGACAGCAACAAGCATTGCCCTTCATGGCTTTGCTGCCCTTTTGGAGAAGGTTATTTAGGAGACATTAAAGAGAAACACAAGGGGGATAAGGGACATACAGCAGGGCACAAGAATGAGCAGAGAGGCATGTAGAAAAGAGATGAACAGAAACAGAGGAGGAACCTGAGGAAGTCACCAGACAGCATAGGACAGAGAACACTAGGCAGAACTGCGGAGTTCTCTAAACAATGGAGACACCCTCATTTTTGTTTGCACTTAACAGACTGCTCAGAACTGAGGCTTTTGCTTATGTCTTTCTACACGGATCTCCATGTAGAGCCATATGGCAAGGTAGAATACAAGTTCTCATGCTTTCAAAACAAACGTGGCATGGTCTTCGTACTTCTTAGACTTAACAGACTCTGGATGACTGGCTCCGACTTAGCTAATTTGAAAACAAACAACATCCAAAAAAGTACCTTCTACCCAAACCAAAATTTCTTCACATACCTCTCCTTTAATCACTGAAGACTGACCAGTGCCTGATTTCAGTCTCTCCTCTGTTCTGCAGTCGTCCATCCCTTTAAGTTTTGCTTTCATTATCAATACTTTATCCACACAATTTCTCAAGTGATTTCTCTTCATGCCTTCGTATTTGTTCTAAAATATAACTAAACAATCTAAAATAATGTGAACACGTACATTTCTTTTACTGGATTAGGTCTTTCCCTCAAAGTTTATCCTCATTCTAGACTGCAGTGTTTCAAGTTTTTTGGTTGTTCAGTTTGGGGGGTTTTGGGGTTTTTTTCCAAGATATTTTTGGGTTTGGGTTTTGGTTTGTTTTTTTTGGTTTTGCAGGTTTTTTGGGGGGGAGGGAGTGGTTCTTTTTGTTCAGAGTTTTTTGTGAAAGCAATTTCACTTTCCATCACCTTCTTCCTGGTCTCAACAACTGCTTCTCATTTTCAACTCCTTCAGCTTTTGGGAAGAGAGTTAGTCCTAGTGAAGTTCTTCTGAAACATCAAATATATCTATTAGCAGTTAGGACGATATTTGCTCATGGTGATGCTAAACCTATCAGGATCGCTTAGTCAGCTAAAAACTTCTAATCTTGTAATTCATGTCTGTATCATAAACATATCTCATGATCCAAAATTAAAATCTAAGGTATGTTCATGTCAGAACATAAGACTTCTCAAACAAAATTCTCAAAATACCTTTAGACATATGCTTACAAGGGTACTGAAGACACCATGTTTGCTCCAATGGTTTCTGATGGAACTGCACTGGATCCAAAACCTATAGTTGAGTGTTAGCTTAATGATCCCCACTTACTCTATATCCCCTAGTTCAAAATTACTGAAAACTCTACAGCAAGCAGGGATCACAGTCCAGTTCTCTTTCATCTACTCATCCTTCTTAAACACAATTATCACAACAGTTGTCAATCATGCTGATTTTACCAAATCTATTTTCAATTAAAATTTTCAGTACTCATTTTATACTCATTGACATACATTTGAATCTGTTATCCAAGGGGCAGGGTGGAGAGGGGAAGCAACTTCCATTTGTGAACAACATAGGGTTGGATAGATTGTTTTTTTTCCTTTAGCACTTTCCTTTGTAGTGTTACCTTATACTAGCATCCACATCAGGGATGTTACCTCCATTACTTAACAGATATAACATTGCCCCATTTGCCTGGCCTTCCTTGGTATCGGCCTGCTAGAATCAGTATTTCCTGAAAAGATCCATTTTGGTTTGCTTCAAGCCAATTGCATGCTCCCTCCAGCCACTCAGGTCTCCTATTTCCAGAGCCTGCCACCAGACAAGAAAAATGTCAAGAAGCTACTTGGATTTTATTCTTTCTCATTTCACTTCTAAGATCCCGAGGTCTTCTCCTTCTTACGGTAGTTCTATCTATACGATTACTCGCACAAACTCAGCAGAGGACTTCCTGTCTTGCAGTTACAGTCTTGCATTTAATACAATGGTTTGTAGAATTACATTTTAATACGCTTCTTAAAAACATGTTCAGATATTTTTATATTCACAGTGATGCTTTTCCTTTCAAGGCTGCTGTGCTACATGACAGCAGCAGCATTTAGTACAGATAATTGTAACAAAAGTGTTAAGATTGGTATGAGCAGAGAACAGCTGGGTACATAGAGGTGCAGAAGCATGAGAAATAACAAATGGCATTAAAAGGGCTGGTGCAGTGGTGTGTGTTGGTGGAAGTCAGATTAGCAGGTCATGAAGATCCTTGAATGTATGTATGAGCAGTTTCTCAGGACACACAAATTAGGAGATGAAGGACAGAAGCAGCACAGGATGGTGAGACCACATGCTACACAAATTGATTTGGACACATGTCTCGGTTGTCTTGGTGCATGCAAGTATGCATGCTTGAGAGTGAGACTTAGTAAGATGATTAAAATTAAGTCACCTTCCCTTTCTCTAAGCTATTCTAATTGTTACAATGATATTTTCCATTCTAGCACATATTACACATTCTTTTTGGTAACCAAATTCTAAAACACTGCATGCCAGTAGGAAGAATATTGAGTACCTGATCTTGTGTTTTTCTCAACACAGATTAAACTATTTCAAGAAAAAAATGCAAACCAAACATTATTACTTAATGTCAGTTACAGCAACCCTAGTTTTACCAAAAACCTGTGGAAACTAAAGCAAGAGATGAGACATGATTTTTAAATTGAGAATCCCTGTAAAGCCACATTACTCCTATTTTCTGTGACTATTTGCTGCATATTTCAGTAATTTCTCTGACCTTCCTGCTTGTCTGATTTGTAGCAAAGTCTCACCAAGCTAAACACTGTCAAACTACACTTCTACTAAAAGCAACTAAAGCCTTCAAACATGAACAACAAAATTGTTAAAGAAATATTCCTGGATGTGCTTGACATGCAAACACTGCACCACTAACCTGAAAATAAAACACTATTAATTCATTTTCACAGTATAAAATGTCAGATGTAAATAAAAATCTTAATACCTCAGATATTTAAAGCAGAAGAATTTAAACAAGTTAATGGCATTATCAGTGATCCAAAGAAATCTGCATACAGAACTCTTGTTTTTAAACTGTCACTGTCCTTCAGCTATTTAAACCTCAGAGTATTTATTCAACATCTCGATATTTAGTACACCTCCAGTTTGACTTGTCTCACCCTTCTTACATAGGTCTTACCCTCCCACGCTGATATTCCCACCTGGCACGAAGAGATCCACCACACCTTTAAAGCCAAGAGAAGTGCAGAGCTGCTTATGTAATGATTGCTGTGAAATCTTTCCTTAATCCCAGTCATTTTGCATTCCAGACTCTTGAGACTGCTCAGATACTCATTTCATTTGTCTTTCACTTTTTGGTACACTTTCATTTCAATCTAATATAAAGTTTAGTTAATTTATATTATATGCCAAAGTGAAAAATTTATGATAGTAATTTTTAGCCCTAAGGAGTAGATGTTATCAATAAGTTAAAATACCTTCAGCTTTGCCTCAGGATGTTCATATGCCTGAAGCATTCTGTCTTCTCATGATAATACAGTATTTGCTTCAGTCACATTTTTTAAAATTACTCTTTAAAAAAACCTTCCACTTCAATACATTTTATAAGAAAATATATATTTTCAATAATTTCATGCATATATGAACATTTTAAAGCAACACACAAATTTATACAAGCTACTATTTTTAAGACTGTCATAAGAAATTACAGATAAAAAAGTTTTTGAAAGATATATTCCAAAATAAGATTTGAGCAAGAGTAGCATTTAAACGTGTCCTGACTTGCAGAAATCATAACAAACTGTAAAGTTTTGAATTCAACAGTGCCAACTGTAACACCAAATGCTGACAAAAACACGGAAATATAGATGTCTTGGTTTCGGACAAAAGGAAAAATTGTGGGAATTCATGGTTATGTGTCCTGGATGCTGTAATATCCCCAAGGTGGTTGTATCTTAATGACAGCCAGGGTAATAGAACCATCATTTATTGACAGATTTATCTGCCAAGGAACAGTATCTCTTACCAGGAAGCTACTTTTTTGACAAAAGTTACCTCAACACTTTTGAAAACCAAGTCTTATTCTAATAAGACTCCTCTATTACTAGATACTTTCATAGCAAATGAATAGCAAATTTTCCTCTCCTGAAGGCCAGAAAATTTGACAAATATGCTGATGAAGAATGTCAAAAGAAAAACTTGTGTTGGGAAATTTTACTAGAAAAGACACTTTTACAGAACAAAGAGTTGTAAAACTATTTCTGCAATAGAAAAAAGAAAATATATAAAACCAGACCTAGTTACAGTAGAGAAGTTTTGTTTCAGAAGGGAAAATTATAAGCAGAATTTAGACATGAAAATTATGTAGCTTATAACTTTTCTTCAGAAATTTACGATTGAACTGCATCTCCCGTTCCCAGACTGCATGCACCTCTTCCAAGAAATACTTTTTCCTAAAACTGCAGATAACTTCAGAGTTGCATCAATGTCCAAAAACATTTCCCCCCTTGTTACAAATAAATATAATCCCTTATAACAAATATAAACTGAACATGTTTATTCACAGATTATTAATAGTCAAATAATGAATATGTATTATTTTAGAAATGCTGAATACACATAAGTGCCACTATTAGTTAAGCATTGAAGCAAAAAAAAAGTAATTAGCAATAAAGCTATTTTCAACTAACTGGAAGTCAGAAATACCAGAACTATATAGTTTATAATTCTCTAAATTTGGCAATAATTATTTTCGAGACTACAAAAATTTTTAGCAGTACTCTGTTAAAAAAACCAAATTCATGAAAATGAAAAAAGGCTGCCACGAAGATGCACATACGTTTTCAGAAGACAGACTTAATAGCCAAGCATCAGAAAGCAAGCACTTCATGATTTCAGAGTTGAATTCTCAATTAAAGCTTGCATATTTATCCTCTGAATAATGTATCTAATATGAAATCCAAATTTAGAAGAAATGTTTGTACCCCATTCCACAACTAGCTGATACTTATTTGCGTTTTCTACCAACAAGCACAAAAGAGCATAGGTTTCTTGGATTATACTGGAAGGTCAGGAAAAACAGAAGCAACATTCTCATCTTGACAAAGTATTTCTTAAAAATATTTTACTTCCTCAGGTAAGGCACTCAGACACAAAAAGAAAGAAAATGTCTGCATACTCGATTTAATCTTTTTATTCAGACAAGTTAAGACAACTTTTTCAGATATATTAAACACGTCTGTTTCTTATCAGTCCATTTCTGCTTTCACCTGACATTGCTGATTACCCCTTAGTTGAAGGGGCCATTTTTGCTTAAATGAAATGCATTGATAGAAGCTGTTTAACTAATGCTAATGAGCAAAGAAGCAAGAAATGATATCTTAAAGAAAGCAGAGAACACGGCTGTTATACAGAGAAGAATCCCTGCAAATTTGCTATTTTAATGACCTACAGCAGTCATATTTTCAACTCAATAGAATATGCACATGCAACCCCCCTGTTTTCCAAGAGGACTAATGTTTTAAATCATTTTTATGAAAATATTTGCATTTACATTGGACTCTAGTGATTACTTGGCTCATACCATGCAAGCACGCAATCAGTTTACTACTACAGCTGTTCTAATACAGTCCTACTGATGACTCATCTGTACAAAGAACAATCACAAACGTTTTCCTCTTGAGATGGATTTTTGACAGCTCAGTTTTAGTAGAGTGTTTTAGAAGCCCAGAAGAAAGCAAAACACTGCGCCCCCTGGAAGAAGCCTTTCAGTCACAACCAGCTTGGAACACGCAGACTCTACAAACTGAAACAGACTTCTGCTGCTGCGTTCAGTATCTATTACTGTTTTAACTGATGTCTTTTTCTACATCATAACAATCCCCCCCTTTATAGTAAATAATTTGTCTTCTAATAAGGTTTCAAATACTCAGTGAAACTACTGTACAGCAGCTCTGCAAACAGAGTTTGTCAAAACACTTCTGTACATTTAACACTGACCTGCTAAATCCAGAAACAGAGATGGCTCCCCTGTTTCCAGTCCAAGATAAATTCAGCCATTGGATGAGAGTGCAGCGAGACTGTAGGTATTCCAGAGATGTGTCATTAATCCTTGCCCAGTAAGGTTGTAAACTGAGATGAATGTACTGTAGAGGATCACAGCAATGTTGATAGAGTAGCTTACAAGTTTGTGCTAGTCTACACAGGTCTGGTACTGTAAGGTGACTCAAAATCAACTGGATGAGCTATATTAAAAACAGAAAAAAAGTCACAGATGGTCATATAGCACTTGAGGTGTTAAGGGAAAAATGTAAAGGAATAAGAAAAGACATTCTAACTTCAAAGAAAAGTAAAACCTTTTAGTTAAAAGTAACTTTTCAAAAAAATCATTGACTAACTATTAAATAGGACTGCACTGCCTTTTTAATTTGACAACATACTAAACAAGAAAGGAAAAAGCAAATCAGCATATGAAAGTGACAGGAAGCTTTCAAATTAAAAATTTTTTTACCCATGCTAATTTAAACAGTGATATATATGTGAACACTATGTTTACATATTTCCTTTCACAATATCTGCCCTGCCCTTGATCAGACCACAGAACTGGCATCCTCTTTCTTCTCTGGATTTGGTTTTTCAGATGGGAGCATATTTGCAAAGCACATGGAAAAACCATACCATGTCCCAGTTTCCCCACACCTTGAACTGATTTCAGATTTATTCCTCTTCTCCCCGATTTAAAAAAAATCAGTGTTTTGTCTTCCATTTTATATCCTCTCCTCTGAATTACGCAACCAGGTAAAAAATTTAACATATTCATATCTTCTTTTACAACATAATTTCTTCCTTGCTGTAATACTCTGAGAGCATTTTTGTTCTACGCTAGAGTCAACTCTGAAAGGCAAAACCCCCTTTTTATCTGTATCAGTTGAATCATCTGAGTTTCACAATAATCACCAGCCCTTCTGACTAGCATCACTATAAATGTTTTTGTAATGACTTATCTCACACTCAGAAACTAAGAAATATCCCTCCTCTCTTATCACACTCTGTTTTCCTTTCTAAAGAAAAATCAACACACACAGAGACATAAATACTCACTTTAGGAAATAACAACACCCCCCCCCCTCCCCCCAAAAAAAATCTCCTTTAACTTAGGAACTGAGAGAAAATGGACTTGAAAAATGAAATCTAAAAATTAATGTCTACTTTATCAGGGCTGTCTCTAACAGATATAAGTACCTGTACTCAAGTTATATAAGTAAAATTGACTGTTTTCAAGCAGAGTGGGAAACAATAACTTGTTGAAATGAATCAGTGTAAATTAAAAAAACAAAACCACCCGCAAATCAACTTAAACTGAAGAAAATCCTTTAGTCCTTTCAAAATACCAACATGTTTAATTTTAATGTTTTAGAAGGATTCATAAAACAAATCCGCCAAAATCAGAATAAAATGTTTGACATAAAACAAAAATGGAGCTTTTCGTGAGATCCAAACAGATTGTACTTCCAGTGTACTAGTTTATGATGCAGCTACCTTCCACCTCCCCTCCTCCCCGCTTCATTTTTGGAAGAGAAGAAATAAGAAAACAATTCAACTTCCTGCAAAATGGAAAATGTTACTTCCTACTCAGCTCCAGATTTAGCATTTGGATTTCAAACATGATCTACGACTCTTAAAAAATTTAACTTCAACTCCAATGCCAAAATAAAGTGTTTGATATACTTCAGTTTCTCTCATGCTTGATTTCCAGCCTCCCCTCTTCCCTTCTCCTTGCTCTTCCTCTCCCCTAAAAACAGCCTAGGTTTTTTGTTTCTGCAGGTGTCTGGAACTAAGACTCAAATTGATGCAGAGGACCTGCAGAGCCATTTCAATGTAACAGTAATATATAAATGCACTGCAGTTAATATATGATAATCAACAAAGTTTGCACCCAACTGACATTTAGGTTGTTGACATTTTGGAATCTGAGAAAGACCAAAATAACTAGGAGCTAACATAGATATAATCCCAAGTTAGTATCTTGATTTTTCCTTGGCTCAGTCCCATACTTAAGCTTTAAAGTTGCTTAACACAGTTTTGTTCATCATTCTGAACAGTAGATACTTAAACATATATACCTATTTTTCTAAGATCATCAATTCACTTAAAATAATTTTCAATATTCTGAAAGACAGCTTCAAACTATTTTGCAACCTTTCAGCCATTCCACACTCTGTAAGCCACCTAAATATCTATTTTATTACTGCCTTTTCCCTCAGACTTTTCTCCTGTGTTACATACTAAGATTTCTAGAGCTGAAAGCTCAGCAAAGGCTGCACAGTTAGCTGAATTTATGTCTACAATTAATGTGACATAATAATGTCTGATAAAGGCAAAGTAACACAAATTTTTTTCAATGAGAAAAAAGTCATTTTGTAAGTTCCGAGCAGTACAGATAATGGTGAATGAAACTATAAATGCCTCAACAATGTCCCTTTACACTAACTGACGACTTCAATGAGTATTTCATAACATACAGGATTGTTGCAATCTTTCCACATGTGAGATGAGAACTCTCACCACACAAAAAGGTCTCGATCAGAAAAAAAAATAAATCTGTCTTTATTTTTTACTGAAATTATGCTACTTCGTAACATCTAGAATGAAAACATACAATGAAATATCACTACTATGACACTACATTATAAAGAGCTCTTTTTCTGGCTCTGGATTAAAGAAGGGTAACAAGTTCCAAATGTGCAGGCTAATAACCATTAATCACCATTAGCCTGGAGTCTGGTGTCTGTCAGAAATCTGATTTTTATGTATGTGTATCCTAGCATAACATACAATTTGATACCACGAGTATGTGACGTGATAGGCTGTACTGTGCTAGGCTGTGTTTATGGCAATTCCAAGAATGCTACAGAACTGACTATCTGCTTTGAAAACTAATTTCATAATGCAGTTTCTTACAAACAGTTTTTACTCTGCCTTTATGAAGAAATATGACAATCATTATCATTTCACAATTTCTTATAAAATCGATCAATAAAAACAAAGTTTATTAGAAAAACAACAAAAGGAAGTGTAAGAAGGAACACAATCTATACAACACTGATTGCCTTTTCAGGCTATGATGGACTTAAAGTACAAAAGTACTTTCTCTCCCATTTCCAGGGCAAACATGGCACACGCCAGCTTTAAACATCTGGTGAGATCAATGGCCACTACAGTGAGAACCTCCAAGAACTGGAGGTTTCCAAATCATAATTATCTACAACAATTCAACAAACAGCAGTAAACAAAATCATTGTGTGCTAAGCACAGAAAGAAAGGATTGTGATTCATACCCAACCCATGTGTGTTTTATCATCACCATAGTCCCTGACTGCAGCATCTCACATATATGCATATTTTTTGAATGATCAGTTAAAAATATAACATGAGAAAAAAAAATTACATCTTACCTATTGCAAAGCTGCTTAAAAGCTAAGAGAGCATCTCCATTCTTCAGTACACAGAGTAAAATTTTACTGATGGTGTAGTTCCTAATAACACTTACTGAACCAAAAGCTTCTCTAGCATTTTAAAGCTTTTTTGCTGAATAACAGCAAGCAACAACCATTTGTACCTAATAAAATACTTTCTGTGGCTAGAGCACAATAATGCAGAACTTGACTTGGTCAGAAAAGAATGCCTGGATGATGGTCAAATCTACAATATCTGCACTTTCTACAAATTTCCTTTTTCAGTTCTCCAACGTGAAGATGAAATGATTTTACAATACAAAAATACAGAGATTTATGCACACCACTCATTTAGAAGCACGCAAATGAATGACTTGCAATTTTTTCATTCTGCAGCCAGAGCTGCTACAACAGCTTGGACACCAATCAGAATTGATACTAAAACATGCTCAGATAAAGGACAAAGGATATGTGCACAAAGAGGAAAAGGCAGGAAGGAGAAGATGGTATTCTAGAGCTTTTGACCTTTCTCAACATAGTTTAAGAAAACACAGAACCCTGGTTCCACAATCGTATGGCTTGCACCAGCAAATGCATGCACATTCAATACTGCACGTGAACACCTGAAAAGTGGATCTTGCAACTGTTTCACAAAACACAACCATTTAAGTCTCTTTTTTCTTTATTCTACTCACATAACATGCTTTGGTGGAGTCGATTTTACATCACCAGGCCACAGGCTCTGATCCTTTAAGCAGTGGAAGGCTGTAAAAGTTTTAAGACCCTTCTTGATCCAAAGAACAGAAAAGGATTTTACTGGCAGATTGCACAATCAAACAACTGCAACTCCAGGAAGACTAAAGTTGGAGGGATCTTCTCCATGTGCCACTAGTCAGTCTAATCTGCTACAGCAACTGGCAGTATATTGGCTATCAGCTGAAAGGAATCTTGTGACATATGGTCATCAGCTGTTAGGACAACTTATAAGAACCTCATGAATTTCCCTTTGCAAAGAAAGGCATAAAATCTTGGAAGTCTACAACAGTTTGTTCTGGAAAGACGCAAGAAGTTTATTGTTAAGGGAAAAAAGTGTATTGCACTTAAAAATGCTCTTGCTTATTGCTCTGATTTGTCTATCTAAGTACCATTTAAGGGATGCAGATCTTACTTTTGGGACCCATTTCACAGAATAGAGGTGCCAAATCCTCATTTAACAGTGAAATTCACTTCTCCAGCAGACACAAACAGCTCATAAATCTTATAGGCAGCTGTTGGAAAAATTAGTTTCAAGGAATGACTAAGATGTCATTTGTATCTTTTTATATCAACATTTATATAAAAATATATTTTGGACTTCAGCATGCAGGATTTCTCCTGACTCTCCTCTGGAGAACAAAAGTTGGCGTTTTGGTACTTGGCACATCTTGGTGAGTCCCAAACTGCACAAGATGTACGCTGTGGCAGGTATTCTTCACCTTTCCCAAAGGCTTTGAATTTGTTCAGGCCTTCAGGTCTCAAGCATTTCTGCAAAGCCAACTAAGACTAAGGCCATACTCCTTCCACTTTACATGCTGCACAAGTTAGCCAAAGAACTGAGAAGAAAGACAAGGACATGAAGTGTCTCCTATAAAATTCTTTCTCAATTTTAAGGTAGTTCTGGAGAGGAGATGATAGATAGCACAAGTACTTCACAGCTATTTAGGGCTGGTTTACACCATCCATGATCAGGGAAGAAAAATTCTCTCACCTAGGTCATCCAAGAGTTCACACTTTTTTCTACAGAAGTCAGTGCCTGTGAGTCAAGCATTTTTCTCAGCTTTTTGGCAGGAACAGTCCATAATGTTTCTCTAGAATTCTTACAATGATTTTTGAGCTCACAGTGCATCAAGCCATTCCTAATGCCATTCTGAGGAACACCACAGTCTATGAAAGGATAGTCTATGGAAGTTTCAGAAAGACAACAAAGGCAAAACAAAGACTGGAGGAACTGCTGCCTACTTAGCACAACCCACTCAGCCCGTGTGTTTTGTGAATTACAGAGAGTAGTATGAAAAAGCCTCAAAACAACTCAAATAAAGAATAGGCATATGTGTGAAGACTTAGGACAGCTACACATTGACAATCAATATGCCCTTACAATGAGATACAATTTTTCATATACTGTATAAATGAAAACTGGAAGGAGTCAGCAGTTGCCTTACTTCATTCTCACACAGTTCGAACGGTTCCCAGAAAACTCTGACACTTGTCAGTCTTGAAGACAGCATGCACAGCATTGTTCCCATATCCAATATGATAAAAAACTGTCACACTACAAAGAACAACATTTTTGGTTTTCTGATGCCCAAACCTTCCAGCTGGACTAAAAAGAGATAGACTGGGATTACTGCTGTCACAAAACCAGTCCAGAAACAGTCTCTTCTAGTTTTCTGACAAATATTCCACCCATATTTTCAGTTTCTTTAAATCAAGGCAGAAAAAAAAAATGTTCTTGATATTGATAGACCATATAAACTTATTCATGAACCAAACATGCTAAAAAATGGATAAAAAAAGGAAGCTGGTAGACAAACAGGAAAGCAGAAAAATACAAAAAAGTACATGAAGACAGAAGTTCATAAGAGTAACAAGACTACACAAACATTCCCTAAATTAAAATTTTAATATGTATAATCAACCATTTATGGTTGGATTTGACGATCTTAGAAGTCTTTTTCAACCTTAATGATTCTGTGATCACATGAAACAGTAAAGAGATTGATTCATCTCTCTGGTATTCTACTATACCATAAATCAATTTATCCAGCCTTTTCAAACAAGAAAAAATCCTATATTTAAATGAAGTTTTATCTACAATTAACTTCTTTGAATTACTAAAACCAACATATTTGCAAACAGTTATGCAAAATACTTTTTTTACTTCAGTACTGATATTCAAGCACCAACAGTAAAATATATTAAATAATACACTGGCTCTAGGGAAAAAAAATCAAAACCAAACCACCACTAGAGCTAACTCAGGATGAAGTTAGTATCCTCATTTATTATTCCACTGCAGCAACAACAAAAAAGACCCAAACAAAAGTCAAGAAGTTTGGTTTCAAGAGAAGAAAGATAAGAGTTGTTACATTCTCTTCCCTTCTCTTTCCTCTTTACAAGCACAGTAAACTTCTGTAGGTTACTAGGATACCCTTCATGTCTCAAATTGGGGTACTTAGAGACAAAAGATGTCATAAAACCAAAACAGTATTTGATTTGAACAGATATTTCTGCAAGCGCCCTTCAATCATCGGCAGCATCTCAGCACACTCCCTTCACTTTCAAAAGCAAGTCTAGTTCAAGTGAGGAGCACGCTGAGCACTGGATGAGCTACCATAGTAAATAAACACTTGCTGCTTTTGGCATACTGCAGCACACCGAAGAGCAGGAACAAACTTGTCTCTGCCCAAGCCCAGAGGTCTGACTGGCAAGAAGAGGCTCCTTTCCACCATGTGCAAACAGTTTATTTCAGGAGAGGTGAAGATAATTGTTTTGTCTCTCAATTCTTACACTAACCAGGGTACCAGCCTCCATAAACAGCTACATCCCAGTGAGAATGGCCTGGCCTGCACACAGTATTCAGTAATCACACTCCAGAATCTCATTATACTGGAAATTACAGGAAAGAAAATATTTATCTACTGACTCTGAGCACAATCACAACTGCCATGCTTCCAGGGGATCTGAAAGGAGTTTATTCATAACTGTTTTCTGTGCTAATGATAGAACAAAAAGTAGCAAGCACTGAAACAAGACAGTGTACAGAAGTCCATCTATAAGACATTTTACCTGCACCACGATTCAAAACTTAGCTGGCTGGAAGAAGCTTATTTCATAATAATACGAAAACATAATGGCAGTCCCTAGAACAAAGTTCTGTAAATTTTGTACGAGAAAGAACAGGAAAACAAACTTTTAGCCTCTTAAAAGCTATTTCCACTTTCAGATGTTGATTCAACCTTTTCGTATCTCTTTCGTATATTTTGTTTGTGAAGCATGAGGACTAAAAACTATCGGAAAACTGCTAGAAGCTTCCAAGTTCAAGAGCTGGAAATTCAAGGCAAGAATAACTGGTGTAAAAACTGTGTGTGAATGCACAGATTCTTGAGCAATAAGAGTGCAGTAACTATGCAAATACCTAACATCCATCCATGGAAGTAGATAGACTTACATAATTCAGGCATACCTATACAATAACTGCAGGAAATTCACAAGGAATTCACAGGGATTCGCAAGGAACTGTAACCAATCTCGACCGATACCCTGTAAAGCACCTTTGCACCCTTAATGATCAAGACAATGATTGAGTATAAACATTCTTTTCTTACCTCATAAGGCAGTTTATCAAAATATCCGTTAGTCGGCCATTCCCTGAGGGTAACGATGCTGAACTGCTTATTAAGGGTGTCCATTCCACAGCCATACTTTTCTTCATCCTCATCTTCATCTATATCATTCATATCAATCATTGAAGTCTTTAGTGAAAGCACAGGTCTCTCTTTCACACCATGTAGCACTACTGCATCCAATTCAGTGTAATAGTCCAGAAGAGAGCTGTTCACTTCCAGTCGGATTAAGTTTGTAGGAAAGTTTATCTGTTTGATACAAGGTGTGAACTGCCGAGCCTGAGGACCATTCACCTTTGTAGGTGCCTCAGACCAAAGTATTTCCCATCTGTGAAAAAAAAAATTACACACACACATACAGTATAGGGATTAAAATCAAAGTTACTAAAGCAATTCCTGAACACAGTAAGAGGGCAGCTTCTTCTGTCAGAAGTATTTAACAAGTGAGAAACACGGTTAAAAAGACAACAAAATTTATGTTTTCCCTAGATTTTATAAATATCCTAAGGATGAATTTAACAGGGCACACTAACTCATGACCTTAGCATGTTTTTTCTGCATTGTTAAATAACAAAACAAGCTGTAGACTCATGGTCACACACTTGTTACTGTTACTGGTGCACAAGTTTTTCTAACATCTCACAGGTAAGATAATCATAACAAATGGATTACAGATGTCTTCACAATGATGGCATGTTAGTCTAAGTATACAAGGAACAGTCTTGCCATGTAACCCCAACATACAGTCATCTGACCTCTCTTATTTTCCACAAAACAAAACAAAAAAACCCCAAACCCCACAGCTCACTCTTTTAACATCAAGCCTGTCTAAATTACAGTATTGCAAGTTACTAAAAAAATAATCTAAACTCTACTTTGTTTACCTGTCTAGACAAGCAAAATATTCCTTTTAAAAGTAGTTCACTGTCAAATTAGGAAAGAAAGTAGAATCTTCAAGTCCTTCTTTAAAGGGTCCTTTACAAAAAACGCTAGAATTTCCAAACTGCAAAACTGAGAAGTTTTTCTCCTCTTTGGTCCAGTGACAAGAGGTTCAGGGCATGCATAAAATTACTGTACATACATCTTTACTTGTACACACAGACCTCAGATTTCCTCCAGTAAGTGACAGGGAAACCTGTCTCCAACTCAGTAATCTGGAAGAATCAAGTCTTACATTCCTTAGGTCTTCAGCTCTTCCAAACTTGCCAAAAGGCCTGAAAACAGAAACGTGCTCTTTATATCCGCATGAGTCCTCATCCAGTGAATGGAAATCCTTCAGTCACTGGTACCCATGTTTTTCCTCCCTCGAGTCTAGTTAATTCCTAAAGAAGGAAGCCTCTAGCAGCCACTGCTGCTACTCTCTCTGACAGTATGCTTACCTCGATACCAATATACACGCTTCCACATCTTACTCCATATTCCATCTCTTTTTGATCACCCTAGTCCCAGCTTCAAAAATTTCTCTCAGACTACTTGTCCTGGCACATGCATCTCAGAAGCACCCTATCTGCTCCCCTGTATCTCAGCATCTTGGCTTTTCTTACCAGATTCCATGCAGGGGCGAGGTGGGGGAGTGGAGAGGAATATCAATTAAAAAATAAAATAAAATCAAACATGCTTTATTTGCAGAACAAATTGCTTAAACTTTTTCCATCAAGACAGAAAGCAAAGTGGACTTCCATTAAAACATTGCACATGGTATAAGGTGCAGAAGTTTGATATTTGTTACTAGGAAAATTAATTAGGAAAAAAATAGGGAAATTAATCCATATTGGCTGAAACTTCCATTTCACAACTGACATTTTCAGGTATGCACAGATAAATTTTCCTAACCTATATCAAGCTGCTCTCTAAGTACCTTACAGTACAATGAGAGGCTTCCAGAAGTCTTATGTCAAAAAAATAGTCATGAACTAAAAACAAACATGCAAGACATGAACACGTGGCACATCAGAAAGTACTTATGCAGGAGAGTGGACAATTCTACCCTAAAATTAACAGTTTTCATAAGACAGACTTACTCATGAGAAAAGCTTTCATTAATTTATGAAATTAATGCCAATTCATGGCAAAATAACAGACATCCCACTGTCACACCCTCTCACATAGGTCAATTCTCTAAGCAAATACTTAATGTCAGCAATGCACGTGTGATGTTTCTTGAACACATCCAGATCACCATCCGAAATTTTGCTTAGACACTTCCAGGTACCCACTCAAGCCATCCTTAGGGAAACTCAAGGCTATTTTTTCACTAATTTAGCAAATGCTGGACCATCAGCTTCTAACAGAATGGGTCTCAGTTACTGACTTTCCCTTTGGTACCCTGAAGAGAGGACTATCTAGCAGTAGTAGAGCTCTGGAAAAAAAATAATGCATCTGGAGATCTAGGTTCACCAAACTGGAGTTCAATAACCAACTTCAGCAAGCAGTATCTGTTTTCCAGTCTTTGTAATAAACTAGAGAAAATGAAAGACATGTAGGATGACTTTACAGTCTTGTGAAATTCCACATTACATACCAAATGCTGATGAACAACAAAACCAGTGACAATTTTCCACTGTCCTTGTCATATTCTTCTTTTCATCAACAGCCCACCAATCTAACTTTAAAGGAGTTAGCTCTTGGTTTATCTGGAAAACCTCAAGTCAATCAGGTTGATTTGATGTTCTTCTCTGCCTTGGTGGCACTGCACACAAGAACAAGCAACAGCAATCACTCTGAGTCAGGGTTGGTAGATTCTTCCCAAGTGTAGGTATACTCAACACACCCATTACTGCAACTGGAAGTGATCTCTTCATCTAGAATCACCAGCGTGATACTTAATGGGCTGCACATAATCTGAATGGGATTGAAGAACTCACAGTGGGATCAAAAAAGTCTAAATTTCCAAGGGGCTTCAGTAAGAATCACATGTCTTCTGTTCTGGAGCATTCTTTTTTTATGGTTACCCATTTAAAAATCTTTCATAAGAAAGGCATTTTTACAGTCAATCCTGGTTTGAGGGTATATACCAAAATCAGCTTCCCTAATAAGGTTGCCTGCATTTGTTCCAAACTTAAGGTGCTCAATGAACTATTTAACTCAAAACAAAGAGAAATTGAACCTCAATAAATAACGTTAAAGAAGACAAAGGAATCTAGCCCTTTCCCTGTACCAAATTAATTAGGTAGCTCTCAAAAAATCAAGCAGCATCAAATGATTGCAGGTAGCACATCGTCTGTCGTCACTTCTTGCAGATACACAGTAACAACAGATCAAAGATGTTGCAATGAGTGTGCTTTGATAAGAAGGTTTCACCAACACTGTGCTAGAAAGCCTCAGTCTTTGCAGTGCCATGCAAAGCCTGAGTAAAAGCCAGCAACATCTGTATTATTTTCTCTAGTGATTAAAGAAAAGGAGGACTTTACGTGGGTTTCTCCATTCAGCTTTAATGGACTCGGTTTTCCTATTAAATTTGTCTCTGTCTCATGAAAATAGACAGGAACTCATTCTGCTCTGATACTAAAGACTCCATACACTTATGAGGTAAAAAAAAAAAAAAAAAAAAGGATTCCCATTCCCCTTCCCTTGCCAGGAAGGAAAATACAGTCTAGTGATTTCTAGGCTGAGAATCATATTTTCAAGGTTTGTGTCAAATGAGAATACATTTTTAATGCTTGCTTAACTTTTGTTGTCCTAATGCTGTTGGAAAGGTTTTTAATGGCTAGGATGATGCCTGAGCAGACCTGGTTACTTCTGAAGAAATGTATGTAGTAAGAGAGAGTCTTTGGAAAAGACTCTAGAAAAAGTAATCAGATTTCTCCCTAGCAAGACAAGATTAAACTTTGCTTGCAATCTAATGAAATTTCTTGCATTGTCAAATTGAGATTGGGGTAGAAAGAAATTTTTTTTTTCCTGTTTCTTTTTCCCCCTTATTTACCCAGAAGGCTTACTCTTGGTGATTCCCTAATGGCTTCTTCAATGTAAGCCCTTTTAAAACATTTTGATATTTCTAATAGGTAGCTGTTGTTAAACATAGTTTAAATGGGAGCTGTCAAGTAAAAATTTTTTCAGAAGTTTTTCAACTTTTTCCTTTTATAAAAATAACTTTACAGTTTAAATTTGGAATATAAAAGGAAAAATTCATCCTTTTTCTGTTGTGGTCTTTTTTTAACTTAATTTGACGGTTTCTTTTATATCATGTATTTTACAGTGACACTGTATACTCATGTGCTTCTATAAAAGCTCAAAACCAGAGATTCCTAACTAGTCTGAAATGTGTGGCCATGCTTGGGGTGATGTTTCATAGCATATATCCTTATTGCTACATGATGATTACCTCTTCAGTAGGTTAGAGACTGTCTTGTGACTAATTTTTTCTTGTTTTCTACAGATAAAATGTAACACTGATTAGGTTGTTTCTCACAGGTGAGATACCATGGTCATTTGTCTGGAAGCAGTTTCATTCTGCCTTGTGTGCTCCTGCCATTTATTTCTATTTAATTTATTTTATTTCGTGTCATTTAGAATTTTGCTAGAAAATTGAGCATGGCTCAGTGTTTCCTAGCTTAGTTGTGTTTGCTGTACGCAAAGTTTCTCTTTCTGAAGGTCTTGAAGCCTGTAGAGGCAGAAACTGCTGCAAAACAGAGGAGCAGGCTAATGAAGATGGACAAAGTAAAAGGCTCTCTCCCCTTCAATTAGGAAGTTCATTGTATTTAAGCAGTACAATGCTAATTCAGATGGGAATGTTGCAGATTTGTTTGCTGGCAGCCAGGATAGGGATCAAAATGTCTGATCAAAATAACTATCCCCCCTTCTAAAAAAAGGGTGTGAAACCAGAAAGGTAGTGGACTGAATGTAAAATATGATCAGCTTTTACTCGGAGACAGTGACATTCAGATGGTTCGTTCACTCTACCTTTTATTCCCTATGAATCTCAGATCAAAACACCCAAAACACTGCTGATACCATCAACACATTAGAGTGTGATAAGGAACCTTCAAGGCTGTATCTCACCTACGTGTAACACACAACTTCTAGGCATTAGTGGTAATCATAACACAACACAATCAAAAATAGGGATCGATTTCTTCCCCACATAAAAACTGAGATTTTATATTACAATATTCCCTCAATCTCACACTACTATTTTTTTCTTAGGCTTTCTGCACTCTGATAATTCATGTAACAAATTTGTACATGGAATGTTAGTATACTTTAAGGAATTACCAAACACCTCTCACCAATCAAGGTGTGAGTGGTACAAAAGAAAAGCGCAAAAGGTCTCCATGTGTTAAAACAGCAGTTTCTCTGACATTTATGAATTTTAAAAATTGGTTTATGTGAAGGAGAGTGATGTAGTGCCTTCTGTCTCTAAAGCAGCCAAAAATATGAGAGGACAGAAAATTCTCAGCTGGATGCTGGTTAAACCATAATGAAAAAACTTCAAATTACCTGTCATGTTTTAAGCATTAGGATCATTTAGAAACAATTACATGTCCTCTGAAAAATACATGCTTATTCCTATCCATGAAGGTCTGACTCCATCTCTACAAACACTCTGAATAAAGTTCACCTGAGCCAGCATCATACAGAGCTGTGATAGCAGTATTCAGTGCACCAGCAACAAAGAAACACAACCAAAGACCTCTTTCTGAACACCTGCATGAGTCATTCTTCCTTGCAACTGAAGCATAAAGTGAACACATGGGCCAACCATGTGGGTGTTAGCCATTTTTCAACAAGAATATATAAAATCCTCTTGAGCAAGTATTCCGGTACACCAGCTCCTTACAGAGCCTCTTGTAGGCTGCAAGCTTTTGCACACAGAAAAGTCTTGGATGAGCTGATGTTTTAAATATTAAACAAAGAGAAAAAAGATTACTAAGCTGAACTAGTATAATCCGCTAAACACTTAAGCAAATCTCAAATGTTTTCCTCTCAACATAGAGTCCACCATTAATTTGGCCTTCTTTTTATATCAAAGCAGGAACTGGTGAAAAAGAACCTTCCTAATGACCTGCTGTAGTGGGTTTCTGTGGCGGGGTTTTGGTAGCAAGGGCGCTACAGGAGTGGCTTCTGTTAGAAGCTGCTAGAAACTTCCCCTGTCCCGTGGAGCCAATTCCAGCTGGCACCAGGATGGGCTTCCTGAAGCGCCAGTCAGGAGTAACAGTAACACCTCTGTGATAACATATTTAAGAACTGAAGGTTGTTGTGCAGAGGAAAATTCCAGCCAGGGAAGAGCAAAGTGAGAATATGGGAACAACAATGCAGATACCAAGGTCAGTGCAGAAGGAGGGGGAGGAGGTGGACCAGACGCCAGAGCTGAGGCCGCTGCAGCCCGTGGTGCAGCCCATGGTGGACTGTAACCCCCATTCCCCATCCTCCGGCTCCACTGGGGGGGAGGAGGGAAGACATGGAAGGAAGGAGGGGTGGGGAGAAGGTGTTCTGTAGATTATTTTACTTCTCACTCTTTTGCTCTGATCCTGTTAGTAATAAATTTAAGTAATATCCCCACTTTTAATCTGTTTTGCCTGTGAAGATAATAAGTGACCTCTCCCAGTTCTTAACTCATGAATCCTTGGCTGTTTTTTTTTCTCTCCACTGTCCAGTTGCAGAGGGGAGTGACAGAGTGGCTTTAGTGAGTACCTGGCATCTGGCCAGGGTCAACCCACTACACCTGCCCTTTCTACACCGGTGTTCAAAAACACACCCGTAGTCAGCTGATAAAACAAAGCAGCACTGGAAGGTTTTTTGGTAATAAGGCGATTTAAAAACTAGTATCAAAAGAGTCAGAAGAGGAAAACAAGGTTCTAAGTGCCTTTTGAGTAAGTAGGACATGGCCTTTTTTAACAGGAGAAAATAGTATGCCAGTTCTTCAAGACCAAAACATCAGTTAAACAAGGAATCATCTGAGATTACGGCAGCATTCCATCTTCAAAAAAAATAATTCTTAGCTGACAACTCAGAGAACTTTTGGAAGTAAGAACAAGGGACCAAGAACTGAAGCAGAAAACAGACTGCGCCCTTGCAACTTCTCAGATTCCCCTCATAAAGGTGAGCAAATGAACAGAGGAAAAATATTGCATACCTCATGTGGAGAAAAGGTCCCTTCATCTTCCCTTCAAGACACTATGTATAAGACATGTTTGTCTCCTTTAGAAGAAAGGAGACAACCTAAATGTGCAGCCCTGAACAGACAAGTCCTGCTGAGGGAAGGTAAGCTAAAAGAAACAAAAGAAGTCCCTCTAACACTTCTCTAGCATCAATACTAACAAGTACTGAAGAGGCAGCACAGAGAACTGGTTCCAAGGATCCCTGAGACAACCTTTTTCTCACCAGAAATGTTGTTAAACTATGCAGGCAGGACAGAAGGTATTCTTGCCTATAAATTAAAAACCAGGGTCCTACAGAAGCTTCATCTTTTATCATGAAGAAGGGAGTCTGAGTTCTCACTGATCACACCTCAAGAGGAGTCATAAAGCGCATACCCAAAAGTTTTATATTAGTATTTTCACTTCCATCTCCTTTTACCTCTGAACAATTTTCTCTCTTTTTTTTTTTTTTTTCAATGCACCTCACTAAGTAGCTCCTTCAGTTAACATTTCTTGAGCTTTCCTCCAACACTTCTCGGTCTTTACCGAGGTGTACTATTTTAAGAACCTAAACCTAAACAGACATAAAATAGCATTAGCTTATCAATCAGAACTATATCCTTGTGATGCCCTGAAGCACCCTATGTTACAATTACCCTAATGCAATATCATCAAGTTACAGAAATAATCTCTGCATAAGTTCTGTGCTACATCATAAAGAAGTAAAAATCTACATCATAAAATAAAAAAGTAAAAAGAATGTTTACAGAGTAATTGCCCAAAAGTTATTTCACACTAGGTTCTAAACTTGAAAGTCTTAAAAGCTGCCTTCACCACATATCATTCTATAAATAAGTTCTGTGTTACAGTGCCAAACACACTCATTCTTCTGAAGTTAGGTGGCCTATTATTACTAGTTTGACTCATCACTGTTCCTTGAATTCATGTTTTTGAGCTCTATTCTCACTAGAAACTTGTAAAACAAACAACTGCTCTTAAGAACGGTATATGACAGAATCATACAAAAGATACTAATTGTGAATTTTGAATACATAACACTCAATTTTCCAAGAATTTTCGAATGAACATCAATGGCCTAGTATTAGGAAGCAAGGGATACTAAGTTAGACCTATAAGTATGCTTTTTAGCTGCATCTGTAAAAGGCAAGACAGGAAAAAACACCCAACATCCAAGCTAATACTGGTTATACCACCAAAGTGTGCATTTCAAAGTAACAGAGTATTTGCTGGCATACTATTTTCTACAGCATACATTTTCTTCTATCAGCTCTCCCTTTCTTTATAGCTTTGGTATCATTTAATGTCTTCTGATATGGAGTACTTTGATTGCATATACTGATAGCTTTTCCCAATGCTTTTGCCCACTATGTACTTTGACCTGTTCTCTTTCTCCTTCCATTTCTATTTCCTCACCTCCTCACTAAGAGCTTCACACCTCATACAAAGTGCTTTATTTTACTATATTACCACTCCCCAGGTCACCATCTTCCTGACCCCCCAACTGAAATTTCATCAGGACTCTACTATGAGGAAAACCAACAGGATCAAATCAACTTCTTTTAGCCTATGCAGTGAGCGCAAAAACAAAGTGCAGCTCATACCCTTTGATCAGAACAAAAATAAAGATCTGACAAATGGCATCACCTTTTGTCTGACTGTTCTGTGCTTCTGGTTTTAGTCTCATTTCCATATGAATAGTTACAGTGCCTGATTATACTATACACGCATGCAGAGAAGAAAGTTTATGGCTACTTGAAGCAGGGTGATACAGCAACAGTGAATCCTCAGCTTCTTTCACACAATTTGCTTTTCTTATTGGAGGAAGAACTCAGACCTGCCATTTCAAAAGTGGTTTCTGTACAGACATAATAATTATTGCTCATAAAAATTCCAACACAAAAACTATCATTACACAAATTAAATTTGATATTAGGAGCTGCAATAATTCCTACAAAACATCCACATCTCTGAAGTTGTTATTAAAACATGTCACCACAGTTTTAAAACCACGCAGAAATAAAGTAAATGTTAGTGGGTCGGATGCAAAACAGATAAATACTAGAAAGTAAACTTCATTAAACAGCACTGTGTGTAGCATTTAACATCTTACAGGAAAGCATAAGGAAGAAAAGAAAAAAATTACCTTACTTCAGCTGGTGGATTTTGAGAGTAAGGATTTGCAGAGCATGCTAAAATCCTGACTACAGCTCCAGGATGATAGGTTTCCAGAATGTGCACTGCAGTGGGATAAACTGGTTCTTCAAAAGCAAGTTCCACGTAGTCTTGGCTACAGAAGGTGGATGGTGTCCTCTTGAACGGCAGCCGAGCGCTGGGGCAACGATCCCACCAGGTCCCATAAGTTCGAAAGACAGCAGTCTGAGTAAAGTCACCAGAACTAGGGTACACATTTGGAATACCTGCTAAATTCCACATGGTATATGACATGCTGTTTTCACTGCCATAGTGAGAGCTGAAATCCAACACTTCTTTGGCATACTGAACTATTTCAACATTGATAGGTAAGGCTCGGGTGTTTGATTCAATCGCCCTCCGACTGTTCATTTCTCCTCTCGTCGCTGTCCTAGCTCGGCGCCGAAGGCACATATAGTAAAACATGCTCAGAACTGTTAACATGGGAAACACTGGTGACATCTAGATTTGACTTAGGAAGAATCAAAAAGTCAGGAGTCCTTTATAAGGTGCATTAACTGCTTGTGGTGCTTTGGAAAAGAGCTGATAAAACAGAATGAATAAACATAGTGAGCAGATACAACATTCTTAGAAAGCAAATTGTGCTCTTTCTAATATCCTCTTAAACAAAGTACTGCTACTAAAATACTAACAAACTGTTAGATTTTATTTTAAGATAATTGTTTAGTTGGAGGTTAATAAGTGTGGCTTCCCATTTACTGTGTTTAAAAGAAGAGAATAGTGTGAAGAAACATTAGCCAAAACCTGCCCTCAAGCAAGAAAAAAACTAATGGTTAAATTAAGCATTATTTCCAGGGATTTATAAGAAAAAAAAAACTTGCACTGACTTAGGGAAATGAAATCAAGTATGAAATTAAATGTGGCTCTTGCCATAAACAATTGTAAAAGAGTATCTCAAGACAGAACTTCACATTGTGAAGACACAGCTTCTTAAAACCATTGTGAAAAGTATTTTCTTAAAAGCATTGTGAATGGTTTTAAGAGTCAAAAAAGTAAGCTTTGGGCCGGTAATCTAAACCAAAAACTTAACGTGCTGCTTCCTCTATCAAAGTACTAATCTGAGAAAGACTCACAAAAATACCATCTTTACCATTTGAAGTTGTCCATGACAGCCTACATCAATGACAGAAGGGTCACCAGTCTCCTGAAGGATGCTCAGAATTCATTAACAATATCATCTGCCTTTAAGCCATGCAACAAAGTAAGTCTTCAAAAGAGTCTTGGCATCAGAAATTCTCATAGAAAGCATTTTACTCCTGAAGAGAGAAAAATTTTTTCACTTAAGTAATAATTCCACTAAACATAAAATGTACTAGATCTGCATACTGTTAAGCTAGTTAAAAAAATCAACACAAAACATACTATTAATTAAGGATACTAGTGTGTTTTACACAGCCTACACCAACACAAGTAAAACTATCAAATAAATACGTTTAACAATTAAAAAAAGCTAAATTCAAGGTAAGTCACTAAAGTTTTCTATTTACCACAGTGAAGAAACATTTATAGCTGAATGTTGGCTACAGGACACACATATCATATGACACATATGATATGTATCATATTCCCTACTAATAAAGGTCCTCTTACATATGCTGGTCCCATATTTAGCAGCTGCTCCATACCTGCATGATGTAAACTGTGAGGTTTACCAACACACAACAAAATGTGGAGCGTATTCTCCGGTTTCCACTGACAGTACACAACACACTTGGGCTATGAATTCACATCCTCCAGTAACACAAACCATTTCTCACAAACTGGCCTTCTGATTATGATTACCTTGTTCATCAGCTTTAATAGGAGAGAATAAGGAGTAATGCCTGCAACCTGTTAAGAGGCCAAAACAGGGATGACTAAGCATGTCTCAAAATAGAATAAATGTTTCTTCAACAGCCTGTACTGGAGTTGCCAGTTAGTTTATCAGAGGATTACATGCTGTGGTAATCTCTGAACCAAACAAGACGTGACTCTTCTATTGCAGAAGACAGCTCAAACAACAACTAACATGATGCCTCACGCTGCCAGGCAGACAAACCACATATTCAGTGTTTGCCACGGGTACAAGCAAGGCCACACTTCAGAGTTTTTGGAAGCATAAGCTTAAAGTAGGGTAGACAATTAAACAAATGGAGACTTTTGTATGCCTCTATACAAATCCACCATATGTGCTTCTCGGGTCAGTTGCTTGTTTCCCATACTTAAACACACACTCACATGTACAAACAGCTCTCTTTGAACGTTTCCAACAAGGTGGTGGTGTAACAGATAAGGACAGGCTGCACTATTTGCCCCTCTTACCTATCACAGAAAGAAAATTTACTAAAGAAGTGTTCACTTCTCACTTTCTTGACTCTTCTATTATTTGCCTTTTGTTTAGTTCCTGTCCTTCCTTTTCACATGTTGAAATAGCTGTCAACAACATGAATTACTTCTGAAATTCAGTGAAGAAGGGAATGCATAAGACAATATGCTGGATCTACTTCAAGCTCCCCTGGAATGCCAACAACCAATAATGTCTATTTCCCCCAGACAACCTGAACCACCTTTTAGAAAAGACACTGGGAAAAAAGTAGCACAATCCCGAATCTCTCCTCCTTAAAAACAAAACAAAACAAAAAAAACCCCAAAGTAAACAACTTGAAACTGAAAACTGCTATTTTATTTTTTCAGAGATGTTTTGATGTAAGCAAAGATTACACATACATTCTCCTTCTAGATTTTTCCTTCTTAAAAAATCTATATACAAAATATGCCAAAAGACATTAAACTTCAACAAAGGTACTGCTATCAAGCCCTGGACTCATGGGTAAATCAGCATATACACTACATTCTAACTCAAAATTTCACCGATTAACATGATTTGAAGGCCCCTCCATGCAAATTATGGCTTTCCAGATCTCAGTTTCAAGAATCATTCAGATGGGGTACTTCGAGATCAGGTGGGAATCACTTTATCTCACATACACAACCTACACAACTTCGTGTCTGCACTGCAAACTCAGGTTGCCTCTAGCCACAGCCCAGAGCTCCCACAGTGCTGCTGTAAAACCCAGCTGTGCTCCTTATCAGCTCATCCAAGGGCAGCATAATCGTGGAGTGGTTCAGAGCTGTACACCAACTAGCTGGCCACTTTAAGCCACATCTAACAGAGCAGTTAACTTGAAATCATGCTGCAGATTTTCCATTAGCAGAAACAGAGTGGGTCATTCTCACTCTGGCAACTTGATGATTTCATAAAACCTGCAAAAATTTCATATCCTCGATGCTGACACAACTTTATCAATTTTGGCTGGCACTAGTCAACAGGCTCAAAAGTAAGTAAGTAGGAACAGAGAGCTTTCATAAAAATGTATTAGTTTAAATAATAGAAGTGGAAGTAAATTAGTTCTAAAGAGTTAAGAACAATATAGGATTTAGTTGTTTATAACAAGTAAGAGGAAAGAGAAAACTATTCTAAAAGAAGGATTAAGTAAGCATTAGGACTACAATACAAATAGGAAGTCTTCTTCTGGCATTTTAAAACAAGCATTAATGATTGTGTGGAGTTAGAAGACCAATGAAAAATTGCTCCAGAGGTTAAAGGATAATAAGCTAGTGAAAGAATTACATTAAATACAGATCAGTAGGGTCAGATGATACAAAGAGATTTTTTCAGGAACTAACACAGGTCAAGCCGATTTCTAATTAAAAGGATTTAACTTTGCAAAAAAAGATAAAAATGCAGACTCAGATCTATGCAGAACATCAAGACAAACAGCTCTGGAGCAGAGCAGTTCATGTACATGCAAATTTTATGTGGAAAACTCCTCCCTCCCACAAACTGCTTGATTATTTTAAAGAGATCCGTTTAGCCCATGTAACTACGCCTTCCAATCTCTGGCAGCGTCCTTGGCCTGTTGCATATTATTGACTTTCTTTTTACAGGCATAATTATGCCAAAGTGAAGACTAATAAAGGTTTCTTTTAAATGCATCTTTTTATCCTCCTCCCAAGCAGCAGCCTTCTACTTCTTTTATTTGCTTTATTTCATATCATTAAATTGACTGAAATGTTGCTATTAAACACCAGAACCTTCAGCAGCCACCAGAGACTAGCACAGAAGACACTAGCAGTTTTATTAGAAGCAAAAAGCAATATGTTATGAACATACAATAACATTGTGAGGTGCTTTCCTATGTCTACGTGTCCATTTTGCACTTCCAGGCTGGATCCGATTCCCAGCCTCTCTCCAGGGCTGCATGAGCTCTGCCCTCCCATCTCATGCTGCACAGACCTATCGCTCTCTGCTTCACAGCCACCTCTCCAGCCAGCACTGCTGGGGAGTCAGATGAGTCCTGGGGCTTGCCCAGGCAGACACTAAACACTCCTGCAAGCAAGTCTGTTCTTCTCCCTGAACCAAAAGATGAAGTCACTACTGGCTCGAGGGGGCAATAAGACTGCAAGGGCCCCAAGTCAGACCAGCTCAAAGGGCCACTGAAATGTTACTTCTAGTTTTACAAGACAGACAGGACTCCAGAAAACCACACTGGACTAGACCTGGAATAAAACTTTAAGAGAGAGAGAAGCTACCTTCTTTCAAAATACATTACAGTGCATCACATTATTTACAGTATCTCCTACCCAGAATATTACTTAATTGACAACTATTTCAATTATATGGGCAAATTCCCTTTCTCTATCATGAATACCCTTTCTTCCCTTCATGCTATGCATACAGAAAGTTTTCTAAGACTGTAATGCAGGATTTGTGTAAAAATGTAACAAGTAATAGATACTAGATTTATATAAAAAAAAAGAATGATGGCATATTTCATCCCTGAGCCATCCCTGGAAAAGCACGTGATAGACAAGAGTTCATACTATTTCAAGAGAAGCAAATATGGTATATAAAACACGTATACACCAGGTTTGATTCTTAAAGCCAGAGAGGCAATAATTCCTGTTTACACCAGTGTGGGAAGATGGCTAGGGGTAAAAATTAGAGGAAACTGAGAAGTTATAATCAAATCTTAACAGAAATTCTAATGGTACAGAAATTACAGGGTAAAACGCAGCTGCTACTCCCTGGATGGAAAGCAGTTGGCAGTTCCACAATGATTCCCCATACAACAGTAAGCACCTGCTATGGAGGATGAAACGGAGGGTGGAGTGAAGACACCACAACCAGGCTCTGTGGAAATCCTTCCAGGGAGGGGAACTACATGGTACTTTGCACCTGACAAACGGCACAGCACCTGTCAACCAAGGGAGGTAGGAGATGTCCTGCTGCTGAGCCAACAACTGTGGCAAAATCTCTCTCCTCAGATGAACTTGGTTCATTAAAGCCTAACTGTAATATTAGTGCACGCCTCCATCCCAAAGTTACCTGCCTCCAAGTATGACCACCGCCCACTGGGCATGCACTCTGTATTTTTTTTTGACTGTATCTTTAAAAATGAAGTAAGACAATTTTACACCGATCACTAATAAAGGTATTTATGACTACAGTCACTCAAGCTCCACCTAAAAAAAAAGAAATAGCATAAAAGTAAGTTGAGAATGGGGGAAAAGTTATGGAAGACTCCACTGTAACTGCTGGAATCAGTCGACAGGCTGAACCTGTCTTCTCCCCTCATAGGGAACCCTGTTGTGTAAGAACCACTCTGTGCACACTGAATACTTTTACTGGGACTAGAACTTGTCTGTGTATTGCTTTGAATATGTTTTTTGCAGTCAGATACTATCATTGGCAATCTTTGAACCTTAACCTGTCACAATTTTCTATTTGTAACACTGTTTTCCCATAAACTGTTACTGTGAGTCCTTCATGGGTGTTGGCAGCCGCTGGCAGAGGGTAACACACTCTAATAAAGTGTGAAGACCCACTGAGGGGTCTCCCTTACCCTGTTGGCTTAGCCCCCTGAAAAGGGCAGTCAAATTGCCCTCTGATTAAGACAGACTGTTCAGTGAACGGTCCCCACAACAGGACACTGACACACTGGTTAGGCATGAGGGTCTCAGCTTTTCTGGGCATTGACAGACTAATAAATCACTGATGAACTCTCCCCACACTAAGAGTAGAGGAAATTTCCCCTTTTCACATGACACACGACTTTTGCTAATCTCACACTTGGGAGTACTGAACAGAGTTTTCTTTCATTTGACTATAAAAGAAACAGCAATATTGACAAATTACAAAGAACATATAAATGACAAAAGCAATAGATTGTACTATCTGTAAAAAGATTAATGCACTTCAATATATGCATCTTACATAAAAGATGGTAAATGGGAAATCTCTTAATTATCTTTGTACACTAATGCACAGAGGGAATACTGGATCCTTACATTACAGTCTAAAACAGAGTACTTTTACCACAGGTTGGCATCTCTTGCTGTTAATTACCTAGATTATACCAACATCTACATTCAATTTGTTGAAACTAGAAGCAATTATTAATTAAAAATTAATAAGCTCTTACAGCATACTTTAGACTCGGGCCCTACTTGCTATGTTTCTTCACATAATGTATTCTGGCACTAAAACTAGTCATTTTACACATTTTTAACTTATAAATTTACAGTTTGAAGAAACTTGGAATATATGGCAAATTCCACCTATCTAGAATCTCCCTTGTGTTGCCATCATGAGCACCAAAACACGCAAAATCGAAGAATTTCACACTACTTCACTGACTGCCTTTCTGCTAGGACCAGACTCATTGCGTGGTTTAGAATCGCAATATAATGGAGACAAAAGTTCCTTCGGCACCTATGACATGCTCATGGTGGCCATCCTGCCTTCTGAAGGCTGTCTTCATGGATAAAAGAAATTGCTTCTCAGTAGGTAGCCATTTCTATCCAAAGCCTAATGTCACCAGCATTATACCACTTCATTTCGACCAACTACCCTTCCAGCTATGGTGAAACTCTCCTCTTCATGCCAAAAAACTAAAAGAAAGAAGTCCCCATTGAATACTACTTTTAAAAAGGAATTTGAGTGCATTTGTCTTATTTGTCTTCTCAATCTTCTCTTGACATTTCCTCTAGACCCTGTATAGCATTTACTTGCTGGTCAGCTGCTTCCTCACCGCATTGATGACAGCTATTAGTCCACATAGTTGTTATCTCCCACTGTCACAGAATCAATTAGGTTGGAAAAGCCCTCTGATTGAGTCCAACCTTTGACCTAAAACCACCATGCCAACTAGACCATGGTACAAGTGCCATGTCCACTCTTTCCTTAAACACCTCCAGAGACAGTGGCTCCAGCACCATCTCCGGTAGCCTACTCCAATATCTCATCACCCTTTCTTTGAAGAAATTCTTCCTAATGTCCAACCTAAACCTCCCCTGGTGCAGTTTAAAAACGTGTCACCTTTTCCTAATCGTATTCATTCAAGTCCAAATGATAGCCATTCATCAGCCTGCACTGGTAAAAAATAACAATCCACAAGAAGTGAAGCACCCCAAAGCAGATAGGTGGGGAAAAAAAAAAAAAAAGAAGGAACAAAATATCTCTAATTCAGCTCCTACCCTGCCTTCTGTGGTGTTGTGATCGGGCAACTGGGTAGAGGTGTAAGTGTGTAACACGCAGGCGGGACATCCGCAGGGGAGAGGAGCACAACCCGTGCCCAGCCCTGCCCGCTTTGTCTGCTCCCAGCACTGTTCCTCCTTCCCTGCTCCAGCCCATCCCCACCACTTCCCACCCCTTAGGCGCTCGCGCTCTCTGACGACAGGGCTAGTTCCCTTCCCCTGGGGGAGCTCCCGCCGAGGCCCAGGGACAGCGGCGGGGCAGCTGCAGGCGGGACCGCCCGGTGCCGCCGCTGCCTCCGCGCCCCTTCCCCGACGCGCGGGCACCAGCGCGGCCGGGCCCTGCCAGACCCCGCCGGGCGGGCGCGAACACGCACGCACATACATACACACATACATACATACGTACACACATACATATATACACACGCCCGCAGCCGCCCGCCCCCGCCGCGCAGGGCCGGCCCCACACGGGAGCTCTGCCAGGCCCGGCGTCGCGGCCCCCCCGCACCCGCCCGGCGGCGCCGCCACCGCCGCCGCCACCCTACCCCGTCCGGAGGGCGGAGCCGCCCAGGCCGCCGGTGCCGCCGCCGCGCCGGGCGCCGCCGGAAGCCCCGCACGGAAGGCGGCGGGGGCGGGAACCGGGGGAAGCGGCGCGGCGGGGGCGGGGCCGCCGGCTGCGCCTGCCCGAGCCCCGGCGCGGGGCGGGCCCGCATCGTCCCGGCGGGCAGCGGGCGGCGGAGGGTTGTTAGAGGATGACAGAATCATGAAATTTTAGGAGTGGGAAGGGAGCTTAAAGATCATCTAGTCCCAACCCTCCTGCCATGGGCAGGGCCACCCCCCATTACACCGGGTTGCTCAAAGCTCCGTCCAGTCTGGCTTTGAACACCTCCAGGAATGGGGCATCCACAACCTTTCTGGGCAACCTGTTAAGAGTGTCTCACCACCCTCACAGTAAAGAATTTCTGCTGTTTATCTAACCTAAATTTTCCCTGTTTCAGTTTGTACTATTACTCCTTGTCCTACTACCCTTACAATTCCTGAGGAAGAGCTCTTCTCCGGCTTTCCTGTAGGCCAGCCTCAGATACTTGGAAGGCTGCTATGAGGTTTCCATGCAACCTGCTCTTCTCCAGGCTGAACAACCCCAACTTTCTCAGGCTGTCTTCGTAGGGGAGGTGCTCCAGTTCTCTTATCAACTTCGTGCCCTCCTCTGGACTTGCTCCAACAGGTCCACATCCTTATGCTGGGGACACTAGAACTGTGTACAGTACTCCAGATGGGGTCTCAAAAGAGCAGAGTAAAGGGGGAGAACCACCTCCTTCAACCTCTGGCCACACTCCTTTGGATGCAGCCCAGGACATGGTTGGCTTTCTGAGCTGTGAGTGCACACTGCTGGCTCATGGTGAGTTTTTCATCAACAATCACCTCCAAGTCTTTCTCTGGAAGGCTGCTCTCAATCACTTCTCTGCCCAACCTGTAGGTGTGTCTGGGATTGCCGTGACCCAGGTGTAGGACCTTGTGCTTTGCTTTGTTGAACCTCATGAGATTCACATAGGCCCACCTCTCAAGACTGTTAAGGTCCCTCTGGATGGCGTCCATTCCCTCCAGCATGTCAAATTATTGCCATGTTGTGCTTTGTGACTCAGGCCTGCTCTGGCTTGTGTCATCTTACCTCTGCAGACATGAAGACTGCAGTGATGTGGGCACCTGCCCGTGATGACTCCCAGACTGGTTTCTCCCAGAGGTTTTTACACCAGGCAGCATATAAGCCTTGCCCTAGCCCCATCCCAATAGGGTTATGCTTTTAACGTGGTGTTGGAGTCCCCGGCATATCATAAGGCAAGCCCTGATTTTAATTAAACTTAATGAGTACTTGCTCCAGCAAACCGCAGTGCCTCTTGGGTTCCTACCTGGCATATTGCAAAGGTATCATGGTTTGCATCCATATCCTTTAATTTGGTACATGCATCCAAGCATTTGTGCTTTCTCTCCCAACCGCCACTTCCAATTAGAGCTTCTGCACTGACTGTCAAAATTGCTGTCACTCAGTCTAGTCTCCTCAGGTCTCCAGTGATGCTAGTGGACTGTACCTGGGACTGTTCAGTTACAGTAGAAAACGGAGTTGCTAGTAGTCAAATATAATTCTGAAAATCCAGAAAATATTCAAAATACTTGCTATCTAAGGTACTTTTTGTATAATGCTTTAATATAAATTCTGTATATTTATAATAAGTTGCAAATATAGAAATTTTTAAGTTTAGTATAGAGTACTTGTCAATTGCTAACTGCAGCGGCAGACAGGCCACCACACAACCCTGCTTTCCACAAGCAGACATGCCAGGATGACCAGTTTATAGGCAATTCATACCCCTGCATGCACCTATGTGCACACATACAGAAATACACGTACATACGCACGTGTTTTATATGCCTAAGATGCTGCCATACTATTTTAAAATAACAGTTCAAGCCCCAACTTTTAAGGCACTGCTTCTATGGAAGAGGAAGGTAGGCCCTTCAGGTTTCAGTGCCATCAGTGTAGTATGCTTCTTGGCATCATTTAGACTCACCTCATTCCTACAATCAGGTGCTAGCTACAGAGTGTTTATAAAGGTGCTTTCAATAACCACCTTCCCAGGAAGTGGACAACTTAAAGTTTGAATTTGTAATACAAAATAAAATTGGAAACAATAAGTTTGATGAGTCAGAAAATAGGTTAGGCATGAAGCTGAATTTTTGTAGTTTATTTTGTTTATGTTATTGTTTTCATTTTATGTTTTGTACATCTCATGCTATCCTCCCTTTGTAAATTAAATGAAGAAAAAGGGAACACTTGCAAGGCACAATTTATCTAACTAGTTTAAGACTTCTACTTTAGCATTAATATATCACCTAAGAACAGGAACCCAAAACTTTTTATTTCTGTCTATTGGCAGCTATAAAGAGAGAGCAAGCAACTAGTTCAGACATTTGTACAAAGGTGTATGTTTGGCCAAATCATTCCTATCCTAAGTTTATTTTCATACTGTATTGAAATTGATTTCTGTGTCAGTGCAGAAGATGAATATGAGAAGTTTTTCTATAAGTCCACTCATCTGCCAGCTCACAGAGGCTGAAACAGACTCCTTCTACTTAAATTTAGCATTGTCAGAGTTCTATGTTTGGATAGCCTGCTAGGTTTATTCTATAAATCATGAGGAGACAGGCATACCTCCAGGTGATCTGGCTTATCCCATTTACTCCTATGACAGGTGCCTAAGAGGCACAGAAAGTATCACTGCTTGGAGGTACACCTCTCTCCACTTAGCATAGACCATCCCCAAGCTTTTAGACAGCAAATAGGATGTGCTATGTCTGAACACATCCTTAACAAAGCAAAGAAATTACAAAACCAACTTCATCATTATTCACAGAGGTTGCCCAATAGCAGGTAGCACTTTAAAACTGCAGAGAGACTAGTATTTATTGAAGGGGGTAGAGGACGTTGGGTGACAGTGTCCTTTTTGTCTAGGCTGCTGTCTCAAAGTCATGCTATGTGCATTCAAGATGTGCTCCAAATAACTGTCAAATTGTCATTCTATGGCCTTTGCAAAAATCAATTGATGATCTCTTTTTATTCAACAGTTATCCACATCTGGAGCTGACAGATAATTTCCAGTGAGCTATGGCACATAAACACTTTATACATATTTCTATATCCACATTATCAGTAAAACTAGGCATAGAATATGTTCCAGAAATGGGCCTCTGTGTTGAAAGGAAATACACTGGCAGAGCAGTACAGGAAGCCACCTGTTTGTAAAATAAGAGTGAGACTTGTCTTCTGTGTGTAAATCAAACTTTGTAATCACCAAATTCATGTCTTAACAGCATTCTACTTCTCCTTCAGCTTTTCCTCATTATTATAAGCAGTGGAATGTCTTGCTTGTAAGGGGAAATCTTTCTGAAGTCAGTAGGAATATTGTTACTTAAAAATTAGATGTAAAGAATGGAAAGGCCACATAACCAGCATGGATAAATGACACTAAGTTTTGTTTGTGTCCAAAGGTACATAAGGGAGTGATATGGCTAGTGACATTTCAATTACTTTTGACTCCCAAGACAGGTGACTAGGTCACCTGGATCCACAGTCCGTTACTTTAACTCGCTTGTCACCCTAAGGCACCATTGTGATTATTGATAAAAATGTCCAGAGGGAATCTTGCCGTACGAGGAGGTAAAGATCCCACACATCAGCTATTGGTCAGTGCAGGTCCAAGACTTATTAATATTCTGCACTCACCGAAGATGTCCAGGTCCCCTTTTCCAGGCAAGGTGGTTGTTGAAAGGCAAATGTACCAAAGGGATTTTTAGTGAGAACAAAGAATCTGCTGATTAAACAGTGAAGCTTACCTGAGCCTTGGGTAATGAGTTAGGAGACAGCTCCTACTAAAAACAGAATAACGCTTTAGTTAAGGCTGCAAAAGAAAGAGGCCTGTGTTGCTACTTCTAACATATTGGTTGAGAAAACATTTTGTAAATAAACAATTCATTCGGAAAAACTACCTGGCTTTTGAGTCTCCAGATCCTGATTGCAGCAGGAAACTGATCTGGATTTTGCTATCACTTTGCAAAGCTTTGTATTTTAAAGTGCTAAATTGAACCCTAGAAATAATGAAATCATTTTAATCAGTGAGTTACTTTTAATACGACAAACTTATCCAAGTGCCAACTGCAAAGCAGCACAGAGTGCGTATGCATAACACCATTGCCACTGGTGTGGTTCTTCCTGGCTTCCTCTGCATCCCAGGATATTAACCCAGCATGGGAAACATCTCACTGCCTCTTGGACCAGCATTACTGCTTTTTGATATGTGAAATTACATATAATCTTTGAAATGGAAGAGAAAGTGTACTAAGTCAATGAGATCAAGTAAATTTGAACATGTTTCTAGGTGTTTCCATGAGCCAGGTCTAACAAGTCTTTGGCTTTTATGTCAGCTTGAACTCTTTTTTTCAAGAGGAAATTTTTTACTCCCTTTTTTTATTTTCTTCCACATAAAAATATTTTGTGTAGCATCTTCTCTCTCTGCTGTGCTGTATGAAAATGCTGTATTGT